GGAAATTTAAAGGGACTTGGAAGGCAAGTGCGAGAGAATGAGAGAGAGGGAGAGAGAAAGAGCGAGAGAGAGAGAGAAAGCGGCAGAGAGAAAGAGAGAGAAAGAGCGAGAGAGAGAAAGAGAGAGAAAGAGAGAGAAAGAGCGAGAGAGAGACGGGGGAGAGAGAGAAAGAAGGAGTGATAGGGAAATTCATTCGGTTCAATTCATTAGGCAGACTAGCAGAGATTCTTCGACCTCAGGCCCAGCTCTTCCAGTCTTTTTACAGCCTTTTTTCTTATTACTAGACGCCCTTTCGGCTAATGAACAATTTTTGGCCCTACCCGCAAAAAAACGTGGCCGTGCCGATTGTGACCCGGAATTTCTGAGGGGTTGAGGTGGCGGTGACATTTCCTCCGGGGTGCCCCCTTGCCCGTTCATTGTTTCGTTGCGGAGTCCAGAAGAGACAAGGGCAAGGGGTAATAATGGAATGAGTTCTGCTCGTCAAGACATGCAGGGGTTGGCTTGACGTGACGGAAAAAAAGATTGGAAGCTGGGGACGTGAAATTTAAGACCTAGTGGGGAATGTCAGCAGAGATTCCTTAGGAAAGGGCAGGTTAGCAGAGACTCTTTAGGAAAAGGCAGGCAAGCAGAGACTATTTAGGAAACGGCAGCCCGGCAGATATTCTTTAGGAAAGGGCAGGCTAACAGTGATTCCTTAACATTACGTATCCCGTTCCGATCTCACAGCTAATTCCACGAGACATCAAAGAACACTTCAAGAATACACCAGACTGGCGTAATATTAAAAAACTACGTCGCCACAACCCTCTAATCCCAAGAATACTGGTTGTAAGAATGGAAAGGGTACTCGAGAATAGACATTAACAAAAGATGGGTAGGACGCAGAAAAACGACTTGGTCAAGGCCAAAAAGTTCAGGGTTCTGGGTATATTCTAGGCCTGCCATTTGCGGCCCATCCACCAAATGGATGCACGCGTGTTTTTTTGCTGGAATAATGGCGTGATGAAAAAAACTGGGGTTTCCCCGCAGCGAGAGAGAGAGAGAGAGAGAGAGAGAGAGAGAGAGAGAGAGACATAGAGATATGCAGCCTTCTACAGCTAGCTGCTTTCCTCAAGGATCTCAGCTAGCTTGCCAAAGCCGGTTTTGCAGGCTGATTACTTGCATTACTTTTCCTAACGAATCTCCGCTAGCAGTTTTTGCTCCAATTCATAGACATAATTCCGAAATATGCTCTGCTAGCTTGCCTTAAGAGGCTAAATTCGAGCGCTTAACAATTTCAAGCGCAAAGAATCCCTGCTCGCCTGCTCCCGGTGATCAGCCCTTCATTTCACAATTTTGCGAAATTTCCACCGCATGTTTTTCTGTTAACGTAGCGCCCTTTCAGTCTCCCAAAAGCGTATTTACCCTAAAACCACTTCCCTTTCTTGCTCTCCCAAAAACGCAACCCACTACAATACCGAAATTCCAAAACGGCCCTGGGGCCACCGTAAACACACCAACACGCAACAGCACGCAATGCGCTATATCGGGAAGCGTGGGATTAGCTACGGAAAAAGAGGGGAGCTACCGTACTCGTATTTGACGCGTAGTAATTTGGAGTGGTTTGTACTAAGGCGGTTAGCGGAAAAATGCTTTCAGGGTTTCGACAGTTTAATTTTTGAAATTTAGCAACGTCTGAAAAATTTAGCTTGCTTCTCAATAAACCCTGCTAGCTTGCCCTGTTTATCCTTTTCGGGTTCTTGCATGGCTTCCGCGAAGTAAAAAAACCGAGAACAAGTAGATGATGCTAGCCAGGGAGAGAGAGAGAGAGAGAGAGAGAGAGAGAGAGAGAGAGAGATAGAGAGCGAGAGAGTGATAGGGGGCGCGAGACTGGGTGAGTGAGCGTGAGAAAGATAAACTTTATGTCTTATCAGTCTGCCGGCACGATCCCTGAAAGTCACCGTTCTCGAAGTAAGCAGCATTTCCATGGATTTCAGGTGGTTTTGTGGATCATCTCAGGTCTTCTCATCTTCCTGACCTTACCCATCTGTAGATTTCGTACATTTTCTTTAGTATCCATCTACCTGACTTTCTCTTAAAACCTCGCTTGTGTTATTTTTTACTCAGCAAGACCTGAAAAGGTCGCTTTCATCAAGATCGTCTCAAAATATCCGTGACCTTTCCCACACGTTGGGGGTTCCCGGTTCCCACCCCTCAAAAAAGCCCTAACAGTCGACCTTTATGTCAGTCAAAAACCTCAAAATCCAATTTGCATGCGAAAAAATTGGGGCGCCCAATCTCCCACGCAGCCCTCGGGTTGGGCCAATTTGTGCTTGTCGCCCCCTTCGGTGTGCGCGTGTGCTTGCATTCCCCCTCGACGAGGCGAAAAATTGAACCTGGAAGCGCTGCTGCTGACGAACCACGGGATTAATCCAGGGCTTTTCCGTTTTCACCCTCTTTACGGGTTGAAACAAGGGGGTCATCCGAAAAGCGGGGGTCGACTGAAAATGGGATAAAATGCTAGCCGAAGCTAGGGTAACTAGCAGAGATTCCTTAGGAAAGGGCAGGCTAGCAGAGATTCCTTAGGAAAGGGCAGGCTAGCAGAGATTCTTTCGGAACGGCGAGCCAACAGCACAAATTTTAACCGAATCGAAGCTAAAAATCACCCCAATGTAACTAGCAGAGGTCCTTGAGGAATCAAGCGCTGTGCCGCAGCCCGCTGCTAGGGCAAACTAGCCGTGATTTTTAGAGCAATCTAAGAGATATAGAATTGCGAGGGCAAATGAAGCTCCAACAAAAAAATTTCCACTGCGGTCCAGCTGCGTTTCTTCAGGTATCCCAACCAAACCAAACCTCAGACCACATTTTTTGCAGCTCGACTTTTTACCTTTCTCATTCCAGTGCCGGTCGGGTCTGAAAATAAACCAACCAACCCGCCTCAATATCTGAAAGGCCAAGCGGGGGCTGGCTGCCACGCGTTTTTCGCTCATCGGCATCTTTTTAGTACTTTTGTAGCGCCACTGGGGGGTGCACAAGCCGGATGTGGCAGATATCCGGGGGAAGGGGTGGGGGATGCGTGTGTGGGTGTTGGGAGCACCACGCTTTCATGCCATCGGCGTGGTTTATGGGTTTTTGGAGGGAAAAGCCGTAGATCGGGGCCGCTGGAAATCGGGAAGTATTTACAAACCCGAAATTCGTGAAAAATTGGATACATGCAAAACGAGGCGCTTAAAGTGCCCTTTTCAGGGTCTTAAAATCCTTGCTAGCCTGCCCTTTCATAAAGAATCTCTGCTAGCCTGCCCTCTCCTTAAGGATCTCTGCTAGCCTGCCCTTTCTTAAATAATCTCTGCTAGCCTGCCCTGTCTTAACAATCTCTGCTAGCCGGCCCGACAAGCGTGACGTTGCCTCTGATGTGGCAAAATATCCGCTAAAAATTCCTCAACAACCTTTGCAAGCTTGCTTTGATATTTTCAAGCCACGCTTTGTATGCGCACCAAAAATTCCTCCCCTCTGCCAGCTCTTCCAAACTGCAGACACCCATTAAACCTCCTATTTTCAGCTCCTTCTCGACGTTGTGCTCCTTACGAAATTCCATTATGCCCGGGCTCAAGAACCCGTGTTTTCACCGGGGCGTGCGACACCAATTTTGGCCGGGGGCCAGCCCGATTTTTGCGTGGTGGCCCTGGGAAAAGCCTATTTCCAGCCGCCCGGGCACATGTGACGCATTTTTGTGCAATGCAAAAGAAAATGGCCGGGGGATGCCCCGGAAATGGGAACGACCTAGAAAAAATATCGGCAGGGGACCAATATGTAAATATCAGCGTTGAAAACCCTTCAAAAGTTTCATTTTTGTCGGTTTGCGCCTCAAATTTAACTTATTCCGGCTTTTTGCAGTACACGGAAGCTTATAACTTTTATTAAAATTAATTTTTCATATTTTTCCGGTTTTTATATAGTAAAACGACACCTACAAACCATGAATTTAGAAAAAGTTGCGAATTTTTCGGGCAAAAATCGAATTTTTAACGAAGTTGCGCAAAGATTTGCATGCTTTATGACGTTTTATGATCGTTTCGCATCCTCAAATCTTTGAAAACATCCTAGGAAACCTAAAAATTTTGCTTCCCCTGCTGAAGAAAATATCTAAGAAACTTTAATTTTTCTTTTAAAAGAGCTTTCAGACATCATCGCCACCGTCTCCGCGAAAACACTGGCGACTAGTTGGAAAATCCGGTGATTTCCGAGCCACCACCGGCCGCTGTAAACAGATGTAGCCGCTAGAATACGGAAGGGCTTCCGACGGGGCGACGTTTGCGAAACCTAAATCTGGAAACTTCAAAAACCGCCTTTCACTTCACGGGGAAATCGCCCCTGAAACGGGCAACACACATCTCGGAATTAATCGGCTAATTTTAGGGGTTCACCGGATCGGCGGCTGCAACGTTGCGACTTTCTAGGGCTTCGGGGAGCAGACGATCAACGGCGACGTGTAAAATCGTCGTTAGAATTTGTGGATTCGAGCCGGGGACGGACAAAAAATACAAAACTAGCTTTTACCGAACTCGAAGGTGGAACTTACGATAGCCAGTGCCAATCGACGAAAACCAAGAAAAACGACGCTAAAGCCCCGGCGCTACGAACACTCCACAGTACGTAGCCGTGAAAATTTTCACGCACGCAGATGCGCACGCCACGCGCCACAGTAGAGCGCCCAGGAGCTCACCTCACCCATTTTATTCTTCCCGGATCGGACGCATTTACAATAAAGCTTTAAATCTATTTCTTTTTTCTGTGCTGCAAACGTCCTTCTTGTTGAGCCTTTTCAGTTCTGCAGCAACTCCTCGAAATTTCCTAATCTATCATACAGCTATACTTGACTTTCGTCAGCCGTCCCGAAATTTTGGCTTTTCAAATACTCCTGACGGCACCTTTGCAGGTAACCTTCGTTGCTTCAATTGTTCTTGTCTACTCCACTTTTCAGTTTTTGTTGCGTTAACCTATCTAAAAGCACTTATTCAGGTATGAAGGATAAAGAAATTGACTTCGGCAAGAAGACCGACACGCCGCCGTTTGCCGCACCAGAGGACCGGAATCCAGGGTTGGAAGCGCCAAGCCGCCATTGCTTGATTCACCACCTCGTGCTCGACGTCGATTGGCATATTTCCGGCTCGCGCTACCACAACTACGTTATCCAGCTCGGCCCCTCAAATGTGTCGTCAATCACGCAAGGCTGCCTCGCCCATCGGCCAATCGAAGTCATCGAATGTCGCCTCATACGCGAAGCTCCCTTGGACCCCACTTATTTTGGAGTGAAACCTCAGGTAGCCTTTGCTTGCGAAAACCTCGTCTTGCCTGTCGAGCAGACGACCCTCCACCGTCGCGCCCTCGGCGAAATTCTGGCTGCCGTGCAGCCGATGAACTTGTGGCTGAGCGCGTGTCCGGGCTGGAACGTGTATGTCGGCGTTCCCGGATCCATTTTCATCGATAGCGTCTCGCGCTCCCAGATGCAATTTATGAAGCATTGGCCGACGCCCCGCCTCGCGTTCAAGATCACCAATTGGCTCGATAACGACGACGCCATGAACCTCTGCAAACATTATTTTACCGAATGGCGCGCTGGCCGCAAGCAGATCACGACATTTTGGTGCCAGCTGGGCGGCGAAGACTTTGGGAGCCACGTCCTCGACATTGCCGCCGTTGCGGAGAAACTCAATTTGAAAAGGGACGGCAACAAGTACCGCTGGTATGGCGAAGCAAAGCGGATTGATGGCCGGGTTATGCGCATATTCGCCCGTGTCCTCGTCGACTGCCGTTTCGAGGCCACAAGGCGCATGGTCACATCTTTATGCACGCCTTCGGCGCTCCGACGACGAGCTTCCTCCGCAAAGCGGCCGACCACGTCTATGAATTTGACACGATGCCCCCCAACTTCTAATGAACGGCCAGGCACGGTTTTCACCATGTTATTGCCGCCCTTGGCCTTTGTTATAAATATTTGTTGTTTTTTTTTTGTTTAAAGGGATACCCAATGTTTTGGCGGCAAATATATAGTTATGTATTCCGGGTAGTACAAATGACGCGCGAATTTTGTGCGGTAATGGATGCCCAGTGCCGCACAGAATTCCGCCTCCTCTCCCCCTTGTGGCGTCCCCATCTCGACCAATGGCTTGCCACTATGGCCTAATGGATAGCATCCAGGTCTTGAAAGCGGGGGTCCCGGGTTCGACCCCCGCCCGCGTCAGGGTCTTTGCTTTTTGAGCCCCGAAAAGGTTGGGTATCCCTTTAACGATCGTACTTGCTAGATGTTTTTCTTTTGATGAAGATAGGCGCTGGAGTTAATCATGTAGTTCAGAGGCTCGGCTTGGTTAGGCAATTCAGACGAATTCAGGATTGAGCTCCGCAACCCTGACGTTGTGTTCGGCCCGCTGAATTGTTTTTGATAGCGCTTTGATTTTTTCTCGGCTTAGCAATTCTGAGGAGGTTCGATACTCGCGTCTCCGATGAGGTCCTCGATCCGCGCAAAAGTTTTGTCAGCATTTTTGTACCGTTTCGCCTTTTCAAAACTGTTCGTTTAGCAATTCAAAAAGAAATAAAAGCTCGCCGCTTGTCAGTTACTTGCCTTTTGCACTGTTTTTCATGACCCGATTGTTACGTTTCGCATTTTGCTCGGATCGACGTTTATTCTGATGAGTGAGGGTTAGGAGTTTGGCTGAAGTTGTCCGATTTCGTCCTGCTATGCTGCGTGTTTTCCTTGGAAATTAAGTATTCCGGGCTCATTCTCTTTTTTAGATGTTTTGATTAGTTCTTGACTCCCAGAACACGCGACTTTTGCTCGTTCAGCTACCTTGGATCGGTTTAGGTGATTTTTCTGCAACGACCGTCACTACTGGAATGCAAAATTACTGTTTTCAGGCCTGAAAAACTAAAATCTGCCTTGTGCTTTAATCACTGATCGACCGGCGTGTGATGTGATGGACAAGTGGCTGGGATGGGCAGGCATTTCGAGGGTGGCTGGGTGGGCTGTGAATTGTCCGCGATTTGTGTAAATAGGGGCCGAGCCCCGGCTGGCCACTCGTTCGCGCGCATCAACCACATTTCGCCCGATCGCTTCGTCTGCTTGGAGAAGGCCTGAAATACTTTTTAAAGAGTTTAAATCGAAGATCAGAACTTTTCCGATGTTTCTGATCGTCGGCAATTTTTGGGTTCCCATTCTACGTTTTTAGTTGTTTTTCCTCGTCTTGAAGCGTGCGTCGCAGAAATTTTTTAGAAATTTTATGTATCTCTTGATTTTTCGGAGCAAGCAGCAGTGATTCTTTAGAAATTAGGCTGCTATTGCTTAGTATTTTGGGTAGCTAGCAGAACTCCTTTAGGAATTTTGGTACTATTCAAGTTAGGGGGGCAAAATTTTTTAGGGCGATTTTTTGAGCTAGCTGGCCAGTTTTTTGCGGCTAATCCAGCGTAAGAGCCAACTCCTAAGCTAAGCTACGATCAAGCTCAGTCAAATTGAGCTTCAACAAAGCTAAGCCGAAACCAAATTCAGTGAAGCTGTGACAAAGCCAAGCTACTGCGAGGGTACTTCGACCGCTCAGAAGCTAAGCCTAAGCCTAGGCTGAGCTAGGGTTAAGCCTAGGGTAAGCTAAGCCGAAGCCTAAGCTAAACCGATACTAAGCTAAGACTAAGAAAAACTACTGAAAATATGCGAAAAACTTTGCCCCCCTCTTAACTTGAATAGTACCGGAATTTTTATGCTACTTAACAGTTTTTTTGCTAAATATCGCCCGGATTCTATCGAAATTTGCTAGATCTTCGTTCGTTTTGCCAGGCAAGGAGCTGAGCTTGAAAGTTTCTAGTTTCTAATGCTATTTTTAGCCGATAAAATTTGGCCTTTTTGTCATTTAGCATTTTTTAGCTTTTACTGAAAAAGTAAAAACCAAATTGGCTCGAAGGAATTCCCGAATCCAATAACTGTTTTGTGTTTAAAACTGTTTTGATATCTTTGAATAAGCACTTTCTATATTATCTTTTTTATGTATTTTCAAGAAGACAGCACTCGAAAATTGTTCTCCCATCGTTTCGAGTATTGCCGCTCTCGAATTCTGAGGGCAAATATTTTGGCTATTGTTTCGCGCGGATCGGTTGGCCGGGAGGGTATCAAAAGTCAGGACAGGGTGAAGCGGAAGCTAGAGATAGAGAGGAGAGAGAGAGAGAGAGAGAGAGAGAGAGAGGAGCGGGATATAGCCCAGAAATTTGCATCCTCACCTCCGCCGGTGGTCGCCCCCATTCCAATACCTCGGCTGTAACACCTGCCGGGCCCGTTGTGGTCGACATTGCGCATGTCTGTTGTCCAGGGCTGTGTGCCGGAATTTGGACCGGAAACTGTAATTTTACGTACTTAATTTCATAGGCTAGGGAATATGGATTTTTTTTCGAGCGTTTACCGTAATTTTGCCGAAAACCAAACCTAAAAAACCGAGAAAAAACGAAAAAAACATTTAGTATTTTTGTTGTCACTAGCCTTCGACATTCAGTATAATAATTGGTCCAAAGGAATCCATGTCAGCCTGTAATATTTACTTCTCTCTTACTTTGTAACCCTCGCCTCGCTCCCTCTCTCTCTCTCTCTCTCAATCTCTCTCTCTCTTTCTCAACGTGATACACGAAATAACTTGTAAATTCATCCCCCCGGGCCATGACGCCAACAAGCCAACAAGAAAAGCCGGCTTGTCATTTCAAGTCCCTTTTTTCCAAAATGCCCCTCCCGGAAGGGGCAATTTTTAGAATGGCAAAGCCCGTAGCCCTCTCCCGGGGGCAGGAATGTCATTTTATGATCCCCTTCCACCTGTTGTATGATATCCGGCAGTTCGTTTTCTTTTTCCGCAGATCGCCATATGGATTTTCCCCAAGATTCTTTGCTAGCTTCATCAATCAGAATTCCGGGAGTGATTCTTTAGTTGGTTGCTCTTCCTAAAGGATCTTTGATAGCAGGCCCGCCTTTCCAGATTCCTCAGGGATCTCTGCTGGCTTTACCTAGCTTGCAGGTTCCTCAAAGATGTCTGCTAGCATGCCGTGCACTACTGTTCCTTAAGGTTCGCTGCGAGCGCTCTCATTTTCCGCCAGCTGTCTTTGCTAGACCGCCCCGTGGGCTGACCAAGCTTCCCAAAGAATCCCTGCTAGCTCGCCCATGAAGCTGTAAAAATGCCGGAAGACCCCCGGTTTTGTTTTGATTCTCATTTCGAGCCCCCTTCCGGCGGCTCGGCTTTGTGTATGTGAGGGGATTGTCGACGGTTTCTTGTCTCTCTTTCTGTAATTCTCTCTATATCTCACCCTCTCCTTCTCTAATTCTCTCCATCTCCCCCGCTCTCTCTCCGAAAAGGGATAATCCGGCAGCCATGGACAAGGCGGTATTTGGGGGGCGTCTAGTAGAAAACTCCATCCCCCCTTGGGCAGCCATTTTGTGAAATCGATTTCAGAGCTCTTTCCATTGTCTACGTTTAAAGGGATTGGAAAGGCATGGCTAGTTTAGATGACTATAGACGCACCGCGACGCGTATCGCATCCGCTTACGCCTCCTATGCGCATTTGGTACGTAGTGAACAGTAGCTTAAGCCTAAGCCTAAGCGTAAACCTGAGCATAAGCCTAAGCGGAAAAAATCACATACAAACCCAGTAAGGTGCCCCATCTCTTTAAATTGAAACCTTGTAATCGAAAGTCTTCAGCAATATCCGTCCCTCTTTCTCCATCTCTCCCATTCTCTGCCTCCCGCTATCTCTCTATCTCTCCTTCTCTCTCTCTTCCTCTCGCATGTCTTTACAACCCCCCTATTTTTGCGAGCCTCCCGAAAACCACCTGAAAACATATCCCGCACCTATCCGGGGCCCGAAATTCGCTAATTTCCGGCCCCCGTTTTTCCCCCCGAATTTGCGTCGCCTCCCATACACCCTCATAATCCCAGCAAAATTGTAGCCTTTTTCTGCGGCTCGGGGGCTCTTCTTCTGGGGCTTCTTGTAGTCTTGTTTTCTGATATGGTGCTCAGATATTTTCGATTGGAAAAGTTTGAGAGGGAGAGAGAGAGAGAGAGAGAGAGAGAGAGAGAGAGAGAGAGAGAGTGAGAGAGAGAGCGAGATTCTACAACGGTCTTCCCGTTTTCAGGTCTTGTATGTCGTAGCTTTCTACATTTTGCATTATTTATTTGTGTATTCTTCATGTTGCTCTTCCTTTTTTTTCCTCTTGCTCCCTCTCTCTCTCTCCCTCTCTCTCACTCTCGCCTGGATAGTCACTGCCGGTCCGGGATCGTTGTCCGGGCACGCGTATCGATATTCCATGCTCGCTCAGTCGGCGCAGGCCGATTTCCCTCCCTTTTTCCACACTTTTTTTGGTCCAGGCGGCCGCCGATTTTTCCACGCCGAGTTCCGGGAAAAATTGGTTTCGAATTTGGGTTAAACAGGTTCATAGAAATTCAATATATTTATTATTATCTGAACAAGCGTAATTTTTGCAGCATTTGATTTAGTTTTTGATGTAGTTCGATTTTTGAACGTTGAAAAATAGTGCTCCATTAAAAAAAATTTCAGCTGATTATTACAATTTTCAGCTAAACGATTGTTAATTGAATTCCATAAAGAGCTAAACGTATATAAAGTTTTAGAATAACCTTTGAAACCTGCAAAAAACCACTTTTCCGGATTCATCATCGATTTCCCCAACGTAATTTGTGGAATTTAAAAAACTAGGCGACCTCAGATTGGCAATTATGCTGGGGGCCTCCCAGGCGTTACTACTCTCTGGGACCCGACAATTTTGATTCTTCCACACCCTCTGCTCGGCCGACACCCACAAAAAGGGCTTCTGGCCCTACTGTTTTTAGAACCCGGCGGTGGAAATTACAAGTTTTGCGATTTGTGGTGTCGATTTTTCAACGTTTCAGAAGCTTAGACTTAGGCTTAAGTATAGGCTTAGGTCTAGGCTTAGGTATGGGCTTAGGTATAGGCCTAAGTCTAGGCTTAGGTATAGGCTTAGGTCTAGGCTTAAGTATGACGCAGGGGCCTGCGTCATACAGGCTAGCAGAGGTTCTTTCGGAACCTGATCAGCATGCAAAACGTGCAATTCCCCAGCGGGGCAAGCTTGCATCGATTCCTAGCGAAAACCCGGCCTTTTTCTTCTTTTTTTTACCATTTGATGTCTCCAGCATTCTATTTTTAGCCATCTCAAAATCCCAATCAATCCGCCCTATCAATCTTTTGTGTTCCGGGGGCGTGCCCCCCGGCTGGCCAGCCGAGGGCCAGCGACGTGCTGTTTCGTTCACACTTGTCGAAGGGATGAGGAGGAGGAGCACCAGCTCCTCCTCCTCTCATACTCTGCTCTTGATGTTGCCCCCTGCTGCTGGTTGGCCCGTGGCCACATGATCCGTGGCGTGGCTCTGAGGGCAAATCTTTGATCGGGTAAGGGCAAATTGGGTTGATTTGAAGCTTGTCTCAAGCCTTCCCTGTCTAGCTCTCTCTTTCTCTTTCTTTCTTTCTCTCCCTCTCTCGCTCTCTCCCTCTCTCTCTCTCGCTCTATCTATGTCTATCTTTCTCTATCGCCATTCGGAGGTTTTTGACGAAATTTTTGTTCGGAAATTATCCTTTGCTGACAAGCGCCGACTTGCGAGGATGCTTCGGGATGAGCTTGACCTCAGGCTCAGGCTTATGCTTCGGCTTCGGCTATGGCTTTGGCTTACACAAACAAGCTAGTAGCCTTAAATTGCAACTTTTCCTGGCGTTCTTAAAAAACTGCGACAGAACCGGTGGGGCGCAAGCTAGCAGTCAAGCTCTAGGAACTCGCCACGTCTGGTATTTGCGTTTTGCAGCTTTCAAGCGTAAACATGCAAGCGGTAGAAATCTTGGAACCCAGCCAAGACGCATGCCATTTCCAAGGGCAAAGAAATCCGGGTGAAAAATACGCGATCCCGGCTTTCGAATCACCCCTCCCAGTTGTGAGACCTGTTTTTGTCATGGATAGCGGAGGCTAGAGACGATTGCCCCCTTGCCGGACACCCACAAATAAACATTTCCACCTTCACATCCCCCCACTCCCAAATAAGAGATAAGGAAGGCGAAGCGCACCACCCACTGAGATCTGTTATTATTGATGGCCCTCCCCACCGGTTGACCGCTCGTTAGGCTTTATTCGGAAGGCAAAACAATTTGTTTCATAATTACTCTGGTTTTTGGGGGGTTTGAATTTGAAACGTTGCCTGTTCTCGCTCGCTCTCTCTCTCTCTCTCGCTATCTCTCTCCCTCTGTCCCACTCGTTCTTCTTTTGTTTGGTGGGCGATCCATTTCGGACATAGGCTAGCTAGCCAAGATTCCTTAGGGACGGCGGTTTCCCAGGAGCCGAGAGCGAGCGCGAGAGAGAGGACCGAGAGAGCGCGCGAGAGAGAAAGAGATAGAGAGAGCGAGAGGGAAAGTCAGTCATTTTTTGTGCACCAAGTCTTTAAAAACATTCCCGCGATTTCCAGTCTGAAATTTTCGTTCCCAATGCTACAGTTTCAATTTTTCCCGCAAATCATCAGTTTTCAGGATGGCAGAACGATCAGCAAAGGGGCGCTTCTTTCCGCCCTACTACAAATATCCAGTGTTCGCGTTCTGCGGCTTCGAGCTGCTGCTGACCGCCTGCATTCTCGCCATCTCAGAAGCCTACTACAAGAAGGGGTCCATCATTTTGCCGATTTCATATGAAATGTTCCAGGTGAGAAGTCGGAAAGGTTTGGCTTTCCATCTTTCTCTCGCTCTCTCTCCGCATGAATCGAGATTTGCATATTTTAACAACCTCACTTGGCGGCACTGATCACTCCCCGGAAAGGCTTAAAAAACGCCCGGAAGCCCGGCTTTTCGTCAATCGCTAGATAAGGCCAAGTCGAGTCGCAAGCGCCTTATCAGCATCAGCCTCAGATTTGGGGTTGAAAGGCCAAAAGCCGACGGAAGTTGAAAATTGAGAGTTCAAGCCGGAAGGAAAATATGAAAGAAATTAACTCAAGTTGGTCTTCTCTCTCCCTCGCACGCACTCCTCCCTCTCTCTCACTCTCTCTCTCTCTCTCTCTCTCGCTCCCTGTTTCTCTCTCCATCTTTAAAATCGCTCTAATCATTCCAGGACACCCTCGACAAGCATGTGCCCGGCTTCACCTGGAACAACGACATGCGCGCCTTACTGGAGTCGGTAGGTTAATGGCCACAAACTACAAAATCTCGCTTTTCTTTAAATTTCCAGACATCAATCTAGCTTCAATTCTGTACAGTGCCCCAGCCACCGTACTCCTAGTCCCTTTCCAGTACCGCTTCAAGCTGATGTGCCTGTGGGCCGTCTCGGCTGTCGGCGTCACGATTTCCATGCTCTTCATCATCCCCCAGTTTTTCGACTATAATGACGCGCGGGGGAATCGCAGTCAGCTGGTTGGTGTTCCTGAATAACCCCTGCTAGCCTGCCTAGTCAAAAACTAGATTTTTTAAACGTATTTGTATTTATTTTTAGTGCCTCGTCCGGAAGAAGGTCGGCCTGATCCTGACGATAATGATGGCCATTTTTGTGGTAGTGCTAGGTGGGTTGAAAAATTTTTCTTTTGGAAGGCCAGGCCTAAACCTACGCCTAAGCCTAAGCCTAAGCTTAAGCTTAAGCCCAAGCCTAGGTCTAAGCCAATGCCTATGCCTATGCCTAAGCCTAAGCCTAAGCCTAAGCCTAAGCCTAAGCCTAAGCCTAACTTCCCTCTCATTCTCTCTCTCCCGAAAACACCACTCTTTAGGCATCACCATCATCTGGGCATGGTACGACTGCCGGACGGCCGCCATGCTCTTCCACGAGAAGTTTGACGGCTGCGAGAAGGTGGGCTAGCAGAGATTCTTTGCTGTGGCCAGCCTTTAAAGCGAGTATCACCAAAATGTAGGAAGAAATCTACCTCACCAAGCTCGAGGAGCGGCTGCACTGCGTGCTCGACGACGACCGCGAGGTGCCGGCTGTTGAAGTATGCATGCGTTTGCTCTTTTCTGTCTTTTCTAATTGGTGCCCTTGGGGAGTGCGAGAAGGAGAAAGAAAGCGAGAGAGAGAGAGAGAGAGAGAGAGAGAGAGAGAGAGAGAGAGAGAGAGAGATATCTATGAAACCACTAGTTCAACGAGTACAGCCCGCCAATTCAACCTGGTAAGCTTTACCCCATCCCCCATCTTTCAAGCATGAATTTCCGGGTTGTGCACGAACTTCTACAGCATGTTTTTCATGTCGTAATTGCATAAACGCGTAGACCAACTATAATATCGTGACATCCTTGTCCCTATAAAAGGAACGGTCGAAGGTCTTGCATGGAATTTCGGGCGACTGCTTTAAAGGGACTGTGTCAGCCGGAGGAAAGCCTGTCGCCACCCCTTTAAAACGTTTGTGGCATGCAAAATATGATCTGGAGTACTGTAGCAAGTCCATGTTTTTTTCAGCGCTGCTACTTCCAAGCCAAGGCCTCGTTCTTGAACCCACACTGGATGGACGCCATCTTAGGAGCCTACCTGATCGGCCACGCCCTAATGATCCTCACCCTCCCGCTGCTCAATCGACGTGAGTTCGAGGTTTTGAGTTTATAGGAACTAGGAGAACGAGGTCCTATGAAGGGGCAGGCTATCAGAGCTTCTTGAGGAACGGGCAGGCTAGCAGAGATTCTTTAGGAAAGGGCAGGATAGCAGCGATACCCTGAGAAAAAGACGGGCTAGCAGAGATTCTTTGGGTAACGGCAGGCTAGCAGAGATCCTTTGGGAAAGGGCTGGCTAGCAGGATTCTTTAGGAAATCACTATCTAAAATTGATTTTCCAGAACTGCTCCCCGACGACGATGAGGATAGCTTATACGGCAATGAAGAAAAAGAACATATCGAAGTCTAGTCAACCTATATCCTGCCCCGACTACCGTATCCCCTACCCTGATTACCGTAACCCACGATAAGAAAACACGGGTCTTTCGACAGTTCCAATTTTGCGAAGCTATTTTCTGACGATTCCCCGATGAGATTCCGGCCCTCAACTCGTTTTTATACATTTTTCTTTCGAAAACTCAACTCTCCCAGCTCAATTCTAAAAGCTGCTCTCAAACCGATTTCCTCAATTTTTAAGATTTTTAAAGGGTTTGTGAAGTCTAATTCCTGACCCTTCCACCGTACACCTATACGGGACTTGCCCCTCATCTTGCTCATTGCCCACATTGTGCTCCTGGTACCGTAATCTCCCCAAAGACTCTGACCCCCGATTGACCATGACGCGCTCCGAATGGAATTCAGGAATTCGTAAAATTCGCCATTTTGTGCTCCTGTATGAATGGATTGTGAGCGCTGATAAATAGATAATATTAAAAAAATTTTGGGAAGATGCAAACAAGGCAAACTAGCAGAATCTAGTTGCGGAAAGCGATCAAAACAGAGCAAGCATGCAGATATTCCTTGAGAAAACGAGACAGATTAGGGGAAAATAGCGGAGATTCTTTGCGGAAAAAAGCTAATAAGTAGGCAGACTAGCGAAGATTCTTGGCGGAAAAAGGCCAAACCTAGGGAAAACCAGCAGAGATTCTTGGTGAAACGGCGAAAAATTTCAAGGAGATTCCGTGCTTGACGATGTTTTTCTCTTTCTCTCTCGCTCTCTCTCCCTCTCTGTCTCTCTCTCGCCCTATATTTATTATTTTTCAACAATCACAAAATCCGTCCACACCGCATAATGGTCACTCGGCCAATCGTTGTTCTCGCAGTTTGGCTGCCGGCTGATTGGCTCGCTGCCAGCATAGCGAGCCGAACTGAAATGGATAAAAACCTAAAGAACCTCTGCTGGTTAGCCTGGTTAGCTGGTAAAATCTAATTTTAACCTGTCCCTACTTATTAGCCTGAATCGGGCCCTGGTAGAAGATGAAATCGATGCGATCTTGCGGTTCGCGAAGTGCGTAATCCCATTCGGAAGATCCTTTCGTGATTGGGGACCAGGTTTTCCCTGAAAAATGCAGAAAAACCACATTATCAGACAGCTAAAGGCACCCTACAGACTAGAAACTACAAATAAAAGCTCAAAGTGGTTAAAATAGTTGAAATTAGAGGATTTTATATAAAAATTCTGAGCTTTTAAAAGTTAAACAAATTTTTTAAGGCAATCCAGACGCGAAAAGCAAAGTCTGAATGTTCAAAAAGAATGCAACACAATAGACAAAAATCTATATTACCCTAACCTGGTCGAGTCGCTGGATTTGAGAAAACTTCTCGAAAAGAATCAAGAAATTCCGCGTCTTCCATCAACTTTGTCACCGGCCACTCCACCACCCAGCCGCAGTGCTGGCTCCTTTAAATTTCAAAAAAATTAACTATTTGAGCAAAATGAAGCAATTAAATTTAAAAGATTTTGAAAGCTACTTGGTCTCGTTGGTCCAATCCAAATGGCTAGGCGAATTGAAATCCCCGGCAACGATTATCGCCTCTTTTTCCGTTTTCTTCAACGAAGCCTGCATGACCGCAGTGTTTAGAAGGCCCTTCACGTCGAAGATCCGGCCTTAATTCCCAAAGATTACTCGCCAGTTCGCGCTAGGTCTAAGTAAAGCCTAGGCCTAAGCCTAAGCCTAATCTTAAGCCACGCCTATGCCTAAAACGAAGCAAAAAACACTTACTGTGCGTCGCATCTCCATATGGCGCCTCCTCGCCCTGCAAAATCACGCTCAAATTGCGCACCATCCGATTGCAGGCCGCGTACGGGCCGTAGGCCCTAAAAATCTAAAAATCCTGCCTTTTAGACACACCTGTAATCAGCGTGCATCGCCCAGGTATGAATGAGAAGCCCGGAAGTGTGCTTGACGAGGGCATAGGTCGCGGACAGCCAACTCGTTGACGTGTCGACAATCTAGAGATAGGAGTTAGCTAGCGAATTCTGTATTTTTGCTACTATGAAACTTTTTTATCTCCACCTAGAAAACACTCAAACAACGAGAAAAACGTCTAACTACGACATCTAACTACTGACAGCCTGAAAAGCAAACTGTACGTTCCACAACAAGTTACACAAAACGGCGCAAAGGAGCGTGGCGTAACCAGTTGTCCGATTTTCCAAATTTTTCATTTTTTTTTGTTTTCTACAAACCTTTACCTCAAACTTGCTAATAATCGCCGTGTCCATCGCCGTTATAAAAGTATATCGCCAAATTGAGCTTTTATTCAGCCCCTGATAATCGCCTTGGCGGTGGCTTCTGAATGGATTTCCTGAGCCGAAAATTAGCCCTCGACTCGATTTAACCTGCAACGCAACAATGTCCGGATTGATTTCGTTGATATGTTTAGCCAGTTTTGCCAACCCGTCGATCACATTCTTGCCATCTTGCCAGATATTGACAGTTAGTACGCGAAAGCTGAAGCCCACGTTTTTAGATATAGAAATAAAAAGACTACCCGATTTCCGCATAAACCAAGCTAAAAAATGCTAGTAAAAATATTAGGCTTGCCATTTAGTGAGGCCATTTGAACTCGGCCCGGATTCACGCGCGCCGTGGCCAATTATTTTTAAGCGTTTTTGCGCGCCCGACCTAACCGAGCCGGCCGTTTTATCCATTTGATCAAAAACTGATGAAAACAAGGAAAAACATGGAAGTCGTGCAAAATTGGAAGTGTACGACTATAGTTTAGGGTTATTACAGTTTGAAAAAGCATATTTTGGAAGTGGGGTGATTTCTAAAGTTTAGGCTTGCCTTAGATCCTGTTGCTTACCCTTTTTGGTTCCTTTTTATCTCCCCTAACCCGACCTAAAGTATTGTTTTGCTGCCAGGTTTTCTGTTTGTTGTTTTCGAGTGTTGGTCAGCCTCTTGCCTCTTCGTTCGGCCGCTCGCCGGGGCCTTGGATCGATGCAAGCCGGCCAGCCCCAGTCTACAATTGCACAACCTTGCCGTTTCCCTTGCCTCTGCTAGCAAGTTTTTCGAACTGATGCAACATTTGCAGCGCAGTAACTCGTTTACAACCTTAGTTTGCAGTTCAAGAAACTTTTCAAACTTTCAAATGGCTTTTCCGTCTTTGCAACGCCCGTGTTCGCCGGTTCCTCTCGTTGTTTACCAGTTTCCCAGCTTTTCTAACGTTTTTTTTTAGAATATGGTCAACAAGAACAAGCTGGCCCAGAAATATGGCGGCAAGCCACAAGCAAGCAACAAGATCGTTGTTCCCGAGGTTGAAACTACAGGTTTGTTGTTGTTTTGCGAACTATATTTGAATTTTAGGTAGACGCCTTTGTAACTGCCAAGCACGACTCCATGCGCTAGTGAGAAATTGTCTCGGATGCGGAAAGGTAAATAAAATACAATCTTTTTAAAGTTAAATTTTTAGATCGTTTGCGTGCAAGAAGGCAGTGGCCCGTGCATGGTTTGCGGCACGCTGGTTTGTACAGAAGAAGAAAAAGAGGTACCATTTGAGACACGCAATAATGTATATGGTATTAGATACTTCAACGAAACTCGCGGAAATCGGCCGAGCTTTACAAGAAGTTGACCGGGAAAGAAATGCCGGCGGGAGGGATCCATTCTCTGGCTGCAATTGGGCACCAAGTCGAATTGGCAAGGGATTTTCGAGATCGACTTTTGATCGCTGATGCGGATACGTGAGTATTCTTGAGAAAGCTCGATTAGTTACCTTTTCTAGGGAACGAAGGACGCGTGTCAACGACCTCGAATCCGACTACTGCAACATCGATCGAAATCCCTATTTGACAAAAGAGGTACGCGTTGCTGTCCATTTTTTGAAGATATATTTTTCAGGAACGTGCCCAAATCGTTCAAAGGCGAGACGAATTGAAGCGGATGCGCGAAGAACAAAAACGCTCGATGATCCTCAACATCGACCTGGAGAATATGGTCGCTACGCACACGGTATTAGCTTTTAAATTTCTTCAAAAATTACTTTAGGATACCGACAAGCGCGCCACTGATCCGAACTACGACCCCGTGATTCGAACAATATTGGAAAAGTCGGAGACGCGCAGGCAGTTGGCCGAGGTGAACGTGCCGGTGAGCGCGCAATGGGAACCGAAGGGCTTCATCCCACAGGTATTGGCAATTTGGTTAAAAAAGATGGTTTTTAGTACGCCCAACAATTTGCGCACAAGCCGACCGAAGTGACGGAAGTCAGCGAGCTGTGCTATTTCAACGAAGAGGCCCTGGCAGCCGAGACAGAGCGTGCTGGTTATGCTGTCGCTTTGCCGCAGCCGGCAGGCTCGTACCTGGCGAATGGATTGTTGAAGTAAGTTAATTCTTGTTTTTTTTTATTGTTCTTTAGATACATTCGCTGGGATGAAGACTTGCTGCTGAAGGGCCCACTCTATGTTTGTGCAAAGACTGATGCGACCCCACAAGCAGATATCGATGCTTTCAGCAAAAATTTGAAGACTGGTAAGCTCTTCTAGGCTTTTGCTGAAACTACACATTTTAGGTGCCTCGGCTCCTTCGGGATTTCCGACTGGTTGTGTCGTCGGCAAGGCTTACCTAGACGAAGTGATGACGCTGACGGACTACTCGGATGAGGTAAATTTTTATTTTTCTACCTTTTGAAAGTATTCTTTCAGGTCGACAAGAAGCACTTGCCGTTCGGAAGCGGCGACTTTGTGCTCCACTTCTCGCACGTCATCCCGCTCGCCGTCCCGGTGCCCTATCTCCCGCAAAGCAACTTTTTCCAAGTCGAACCCTCATTCCGTGATGTTTTAGCTAAAGTTTTTGTGTGATTTGTTGATTTTCGCTTTTTTGTTATTATTATGGGCGGGTTCTCGTTTCTGGTCAATAAATGGTGACACCATTTGTATTGTGGCTGTTTTGAGCCGTTTTCCGCGACGAATACTTTTTAGTTATGTCTAGAGCCTATCGCTACTGCTTGACTTTACGAAATCTCGAAATAATCAGTCGTAACGTATCCGATATTGTTTGCACGTTTCACGATCTCTCTGCCTTGTTTTTATCAGCTGTACTAAATGACTTTTTCAGAATGGCTGCCATCGATGCTAACGTCCAACTCGCCCACGATCCCTTCCTGGGGATGACCGAGGAAGATGTGAGAACAACTTTCAGTTTTGAAACCAGTTTTTTAGGAAAAATTCTACAAAGGACTAGCCGCGAAAACGCTCGTCGCAGCCGCCACCTATCCAATTACCGCCGTGAAAACTCTAATTCAAGTATTTTTCGTTTTCACAACTTATTCGCTTTTTCAGCTTGGACATGAACCATTCCCGCTCTCCTCCGGCAAGGCCCTGATCGTCGCCGGACGCAACGCCTACTTCTTGCCCAACGGATTTAGCTATGGTACGCATTTTGTGAATTTGAAACGTATAGTTTAGCTAAACAACTGGCCGAAAAGAAGGGCGTCAGCGTGCTGTGGACCGGGTTGGATTCGGCGCTCGTCAGCTTCGTGGTGGGCGGCACCGTGGGACATGTTGCCAAGAAGGTTAGAGCTTCGTTTCGGATTTGACTGTTCTTTAGCACCTCGACAAGTATTACCCGGAAGTCGGCGGGTCGGCCGAATTTGACGGAAAGGAGGAGAAGGTAACGGAGGAATCCGGCTTTCGAGTATCGAGGTTTAGGCCCTCAGCGACCACGAGTCATTCCGCCGCATGCTGCGCGCGTGCATTCGTGACTCAACGGTGCGAACGGTGGCCGTCATTGTGGCTCGACCCATGACGGGTAACCAACCGATTGATTGGCTTTAATTATTGTTTTTAGTGGTCTGCGTCCGACAAATCGCCCAACTCATCGGCGGCGAGGCAAAGTACCAAACTGTCTTCCAAGGACTCCGCCTGATCGGCATCGAGGAGGGACCAGGAGGGCTTTTCAGGTAAAATTTAATTTTTTCGATTTTACTGAAAATATTTTTCCAGTGGCCTCATCCCGCACATTCTCGGCGAGCTGGCCGTCGTCGCCGGCGTCCACTTTGCCACCTACTTTGCCGAGCGCGCCATCGTCCGCTCCGGCCTCTACGAGAAGGCCAACGAGAGCGAGCAGGGCAAGAAGGAGCTCGACGACGTACGCAAGGCCGTCCACTTTATCGTGCCGTTCGCCGTCAACTCGGTCACGTACCCGTACTCCCTCGTCTCGACGGTGATGGCCGTCGCTGGCAGTGGATTGGCCGTTTCATTCTTGCCTTACAGGTATTGCTTTGGAAGGGTGTTTGTATCCATATTTTAGCCCGGCTTTCCCGACCTGGATGAGCGCCTGGGACTACCTGTCGCCGCATGGACTCAAGCGAGGATCGCGTCTTTTCTTGCGCGAACAGGTGTGTCTCTTTTTCTAATGTCTACTGCTTTTCCTGTCTGATCTATCAAGCCTGTCTTTTCAGCAAGGAGCCGTGTCCGTCGGCGTCGACAAGCAGCTCTACGCCACCAACCGCCACTTCGTCTAAACGGTGCGCGCCGCCAGGACACCCCGCGATCGACCTGCCAACTACGATCTACCCCCATTTTTGCGACCTATCTAGCCGCCTAGCTAGCCCTCAGTGTGTGTCTCTATCCACCATTGTCGTTTTATCGTTATTGTGACCATAAAACTCTGCATACCACTTCTTTTTTGTGCCGGCATAACCACCTCCTCGCCCCGTGTGACTTTTTTCGGAATGTCCGTCTTCTTTTGTTCAGAGCCTAGCGGCAAGTAAAGTACCCTCTAGCATTTAGTGACGGAATAAATGGTCGACAGAAGAACGATGCCGAGATGTGCGAAGCCGTGCACGGGATCGAAATTCGGCCAGAATTCAGGAAAATTAAGGCCCTCGTCGATCTCAAAATAATTTTTATCCGGTAGTCGAATCGTTCGTCGATGCATTGCATCCGAATTTCACTTTTCGAGTATAAAAATTTAACGTTGGACTTAGAAACCTGAGTTTAGCCTACAAGATGCAAAGCTTCAAAAGGTCGAAAGATCGACAAAGGTGTGGGGGTTTCGAGACATAAGCTTTTTGTAGTTCTTATAACGTCTGTAGCCCTACTTAAACTTTTGTTGCCTAAGTTGTGAAATGGCCCTCTGCGCACAAAACCGAAGCCAGGAAGCTTGTTTTTTTAAGCCGGGAGGTCATTTTACACCGGGTTTCGGGCCCTAAACTAAATATAATTGCTCCAGTAGGTCCATAGAGCGCAACTTGATTTTCAGGTGAAAACGCGTGTTTTCTCTCGCGCCGGGGAAAGTGAGGGAAGCGTGCGGAGGAGCAGGAGGATTTGGGTCAGATCCATTTGCCGACCCGGGGGCGCAAATGGCTGCTGCTCCTTGCCCCCGCAGGCCAACAAAGTTCCCCTTCCCCGAGCCTGACAATGGGCACTTTCGTTGGTTCTTGGGGGAGGCTGAGGATGAGGATGAGGTGGGGGAAGAGGACTGGATTTTAGCCTCGAGTGACAGAGTCTTTAGAGGTCTCGGTGGACCGGAACAGCCCGAGCCATATGGCTGCTACCGGTCAGCCGGTTGTAATGGGATCGTCGTCCTCCCGGCACGTCACATTAACCAGAGCCTTGACTTTTGAGGACTGCTGGATTTCTTGAGTCTGACGTTCGCTAAAGAAACGCTGCTGGTATGCCTAATTTTGTCCCAGATTTTCCATCCGGAACTCCGCTAGCCTGCCTGATTTCGGAGCTAATGGATTTTTTTGACGCTCTATCGAATGGCGTTACAGAGATTTTGAAAAAATACGGAAAATGCCGAAAACCGTTACGTCGAAATCTCGCCAAAAACTTGTGTTGCCTCCCATAATTTTTTTATTATTTTGAGCAGCAATTAAACATTCTGGCATACTTTTTAAGCTCAATTCAACCGCTTTAACACAAAAACTTTCAATGAATGTCGAAAATGTCGAAAACTAGCTTACTAACCGCAGCTTTGAGTGTTTTGTTAATCTTGCTATAGCCATTTTAGACTGCGCCATTTGGAGCTGTAATTAAAATCTGGCGTTATCAAAATGCCAAAAAATACCAAAATAACGAAATCTTTGGCCTTAAACCCCCCCCCGCCGCTAACGAACTAGAACCCTTGTTTTATTCGCTCTTTCTTCTCTCTGTCGGTCTCTCTCTTTCTCTCTCTCGCTCTCTCCCCCCCATGATCCTCTAAACATTCCAGCGTCACCGTCATGTCTTGAACGCACCCGCCATGAGAGGTCTGCTTCGCTTGCTGGCGCTTTGGCTAGCCGTACACAGAGGTAGTACTCTCGTAACCGCGCTAGGAAACTCTCGAATTTGTAGCATCAACCGAAATCAACTCGTCGTCCGACCTGAACTGTGACTTTTCGACGAATTGTCTGTGGCGAAACGGTACTAACGGGGTTGAGGTTTGTTAATTTTTCGGCCACGCTAGCAGCGATCCTTTGAGGAAAAATTTGGTTTTTACAGGATTCCGGTGAATTCGCGCCCGGAACTAGCCTCCAGATGGACGACTATCACAAGGTGACGGCGCTGCGGACGGATAGAGGTAGAGTTTTGGGGGTCTAAAGGGACTGGAAAGGCATAGGTCGGCCCTCCCGTCCACTAGGTCTCGACTGCACGCGATACTGCAATGTTTTTCGATCACACATTTTGACTTATAGAGAGTTTCACGTGCTATTTTGAGTGGTGCGTAGCTGTCGAGAACTAGTCGATAGCTAGAGTTGATTTTGGCATTTCCTAGCCCCTTTAGAAATTTTAGAGGGACCGTGACAGCAGAGAAAGCATTCTAGATGATCCCTTCATCTACTCCTCGGCTTTTGGGGGCCGGCAAACGGCGCTCCTCGTCAGCGACGTGGTCAGCTGCCAACTGGGAGGAGCCTCGTTGAAGTATTGGTAAGAACGAGGATTTTTGGCTCTCTCGCGCTCCTTCGCTCTCTCTATCTCTCTCTCTCTCTAACTAGCTCCAGCTTCGCCTTCCTCTCTTTCTATCTCCTTTAAGGTATATTTTAGGTACTGGAAGACCGGCTCTGATGTGAAGCTGGACATTTGCGTGCGGCAACCACCCGGAAGTCGAGATCCCGCGAATCTGAAGTGGGTTTTAAGGTGACGGCGAAGGTACCGTAATCAGCGGCGGTTTGGCAGAAAACCATTCCGATTACCGGGCCCAGCCTCAAACCGATAATCTAAATATGATTCAGTTTTTTATGAGGTTTAGAAATATCTGGGTCCCGCCACGATTTGGTCTCGCTTTGGCATGCTGCCAGAATACCAATAAAGCAGATATTGCCCTGCAACGCCCTTGAAAGCGCTAAAGAATATTTTTAGGTGCTACGACGGCCTCGCTTCCACCCACGCGCAGCAGTGGATCTACCGTAGCGTCGAGTTTCCGCCTATATCGCAGCCGTTTGAGGTACGGTACTTTAAAGGGAGGAAAAAAGAATTACGCCATGTTAATCTTGTAAAATAGCTTAAATCTAGTTGCAAATTGAAAGTAGAAAAGGAAATTCACGAACGTTTTTGATGAACATAAACATGAAGAGGAAGCAGAGATGATGATGTTTTAAGCATAAGCTTAATCCTAAGCCGCAGCCTAAGCCTAAGCCTAAGCCTAAGCCTAAGCCTAAGCCTAAGCCTAAGCCTAAGCCTAAGCCTAAGCCTAAGCCTAAGCCTAAGCCTAAGCCTAAGCCTAAGCCTAAGCCTAAGCCTAAGCCTAAGACTATGCCTAAGCATGACGCTTTGTTAATCTACCATACGCGAAACCACGATATTTTTCAGCTCGTCTTCCGCGCCACGTTCACCGCTCCGATGGACATCATCGCGCTGGACGACATCTTCTACGACGCCATCCTTTGCAGTGAGTGTTTTTCGGCCTTCTAAAACTACAAACTACGTAATCAACTTCAGTTTAAAATTTTGAACTTGTAATTTTTAACCAATTTCTGCCGATTTCTGTGATTTTTTTGTTTCTTGAAACTTATGGGTCACGGTTATTAGGGCATCTTTCGTACACAAAATTATCGAAATTTTGAGAAACCTACTACAAACTACAAAACGTGCTAGCCGAATAACCGTGGCCCATTTTAGGTGAACGGCTCGCTGTCGAGGGCGGCTACGACGCCAGGAAGAATATTTTTATGTCGTCGACTTCGAAAAATGAAGCCTTCCAAGCCCCCACGTCAGATGAAGTGGAACTTGAGCGAGAAATCGGCGGATCTCAAGTTTCTGCTCAGCGACAACAACAACAGGGTCATCTTCGCGAGCTTCAAAAGCTTCAGGCCTACTCGGATGAGCTTATGTGGCTTGGCAAGCTTCCCACTCAGCTTAACGAGCTGAGAAAGCTTCGGAATGAGTCCAGGAAGCTTCGAAAGCTTGAGCCTTCCTCTGACGAGCTTCAGGGGATTGGCGAGCTTTACGACGCATCTAAAAAGCTTGAGGAGCTTCAGGAATCCATTCCAAAGACTGAAAATTCATCTGATCAGCTTTGCGAGCTTCAAAGCCACCTGCTGAGCTCACTCTATCCGTTTCTGCAAGCCGCCCAAGCCGGCTTGGCTAGCCACGCGAAACGTACACGACGTTCCCCTCCAACGATCAGCGTCGAGGGCTGGAAGAAGCTGCGGGAGAGCGGAAATCTTGGAAAACAGACGCTTCTGGTCGTTTCTGAAGACGTTCAGGTCGTTGAGCCCGACAACGATATCACTCCAGTGACTATGGGTCCAGAAATGACTACAGCAAGTTCAGCAACGACAACTGAAGAGGTCACTTCCACTTCTGAAGCTCCAGAAACCCCAAAAAACTGGCCGGACGAGGAGCTGCTCACGACGTCTTCAGAAAGTCCAGTGACTTCTCCCCCAACTACCATGAGCCCCGAGCAGAACATGGCCAATATGGTGGCGCTGCTCAAGGGCGTGGCGCCAGTGCTACCCTACGTCCCGACGCTCGTCCAAACGCTCCAGGCCCTAGACCCCCGGGCACAAGCTCAAGGAGTTCAGGCCCCGCAGGCTTTTGGAGAGAAGCTCCTTGACGGGGTGTCCCCAATAATCCCCATTAATGCGCCGGCGCCCAGCTTGAGCCTGTTGCCCACCCCGGCCTCAACCGTCGACAACTCAGAGTCGCTGATCAAGCTCGCCAAGCAGTTCGGCATTTTCGGGGAGGAGCCAGACGTCGGGCTTCCGGCACAGCCCACATTTGCCCCGGAAATCCCGGTACCCAGGGGTTTGGGTACGGTAGCGGGGTCAGAGTTTAGCGACCAGCTCGAGGCGCTTGTCTCCTCGAATCCTGGCATTGGGAAACTGCTGGGGGCCAAGGATACGGTGGCTGGGTCGGCATTTAGCCAGTCGTTCCCCGGACTTCTCCCCACTGCAACGAGGGATACGGTAGCTGGCGTGAAAAATAGTCAATTTCCCGAGAGTTTGCCTACCGTAACTAGCGACACGGTATCTGGAGCGCAAAATAGGCAATTTTCCGGAGCTTTTCCTACGGCGCCCGGGCCGCAAAATAGCCAATTTTCCGGAAGTTTCCCGGATACGGTGGGTGCAAAACATACCGTACCCTCACCAAAAAGCAAGCCCGAAAACAATCTTTTCGGCTTCGAGCGAATTCGCCCCGGGACCACGACCCCGCTGCCAAATTACTCGACCATCTACCCGCCCAAGGTCAACAACATGAAGCAGCTCGAGAAGCAAAACCAGGAAACTGCTGAGGTACTGCAGAATGCAATTGATGAAGAGGGCGTAGATCTCAGCGTCCTTAGTGAGGCGCAACTCGCCCAACTCGCCGAAATTCACAGGAAAATCTTCGCCCACAAGTCGGCGACCACCGAGCCGACGCTGGTCGTCTACAAAAAGGTGGGGAAGCCGACGGCTCGGCCTTTACAAGAGCCAAAGCTCGAGAGCAATTTCTTTGAGAACAGCCTAAGCCCGCCAAGCCCGCCAAGCCAAGCCGACGAAGCTGGGGACAACTACGATCAAATCCGAGAGATCGCTAGGGAGAGAGCGCAAGTGTTTGAAGCCAGGAACCAGGCTTTTGGGCAGAAGTCTCAAGCGGAATCGGGAGCTTCTGATCAGCGCTCTAATGGCCAGGGCACCGCCGAGATGGAGAAGCGTTTCCGGGAGATCGCCTCGAAATTGCCGCCCGATGTGCTTAAGGACTTGAAGATGTTGAAAGTAAGTTTTTCAAGTAACTGCCCTTTCCTAAAGAATCTCTGCCAGCCTGCCTTATCCTAAAAAGTCTCTGCTAGCCTGCCCTTTCCTCAAGAATCTTCGCTAGCCTGCCCTTTCCTAAAGAATCTCTGCTAGCCTGCCCTTTCCTAAAGAATCTCTGCTAGCCTGCCCTTTCCTAAAGAATCTCTGCTAGCCTGCCCTTTCCTAAAGAATCTCTGATAGTCTGCCCTTTCCCAAAGCATCCCCGTTAAGCTGCCTGTGTAAAATGAAGCCAATCCTTTATTTCAAGGACATCCCCAACCTGGACGAGCTGGTGCAGGGCCTCGACACGTCGCTGATCACGAAGCCGGGCGGATTCGCCAAGTTGAAGCAGCAGTTCATCGAGCGGCTGATGCGGAGAACGATGGGGTTGCCGATGATGGGGCCACGTCCGCTTCCCCCGCCACAACGACCGATACGGATACCACGGAAACTGCTGAAGGCCATGCTCGCTCGGGCGAAGACGGCTTGAAGCTGGCTTGGCCATCGAAGCCTATATCTCGACCCTACCTCGCCATAGCTTATTTTTATCGTTGTCTTAGGAATAAATTGAAAAATATACACGTTAAGCGGGAAAATGCGGTTGAGTGTAAATCAATCTGGTGTAAACGTGTAGAAAACGCTCAAAAATTTTTTTAATTTGTAAAAACATTGATATCGCCATCAAAAACGTTTTTTCAGCCTTTTTTCGAGCTTTTTCACGACGTAAAACCGTGGAAAAGGCTGTTAAAAATTCTGGTGACGGACTACCAGATTGAAAAAAGAACGTTTCCTGACTTCACAATCCGTCCTTTAGATACATTTTTAGTTGCCTCAAACTCGGGCGGCACCGAGGGCGCTGGCGGTGGGTTTGGCGGCACGACAAATGGGTTTGATACCGTACCCGAGGTCCGGAAGCGCATCAATATCTAGAGTTTTTGATTTTAGCCCCCGCGTGTTCCTGACTTTGGCTCGAGCCTTTTCCAAGCCGATCAGGGGCTGAGGAAATCGACGCTAGCTGCTCCGAGCTTCTCAGAAAGTATCGATCCTCCCGCGCCACCGAGGTGAGCGTCTCTCTCCTGCTCCCGCTCCATCTCTCTCTCTCTCTCTCTCTCTCTCTCCCTTTCTCCCAAAAACTCGACATTCCAGATCGCCATTCGACGAATCTCATTTTGGATATTCGAGGGCCTCCGCGGCCAAGACCGCAGGTAAGCCAAAGCCTAAGCCTAAGTCTAAGCCTAAGCCTAAGCCTAAGTTTAAATCTAAGCTTAAGCCTAACTCTAAGCTTAAGCCCAAGCCAACCCAAAACACCCTTTAGCAATCGGCCCCAATGACGCTACGCCTCGCTTGACGGGGCCGAGACTTGGCCCAGCCTACGATCCGAGATGTCCACCAGTTGATTGCACTTTCGACCTGAATGTGAGTGGGAGAGAGAGAGATAGAGATAGAGAGACATAGAGAGACAGTTAAAATCAGCGCCTTCCTTTAGATGTTCTGCGACTACGTGAACGCCGTCGTCGACAGTGACCTGCTCGGGGTCCGCGAGGGTGCTAAGGAGTGGCAGCTGGCCCGGGAGAAGGTCGAAAACACTCTGACCGGGATCTCAAAGGACCTGTCCGGGCGTGAGTACACTACGCTTCTATGGACACAGAGATCCTAGGGGGAAGCTACATCTGGGCGGGCGGTGTCGACGAGCCGAAGGACATGTTCGTGCTCTCCTCCCGCGCGCCGCTGACGCTGCCCGCCGCGTCGCGGCTCGACTTTTTTGTGCATATTGCGGGTGGGGAATTCTGATTTTCTCAATAATCTCTGCTCGTTGCCCCAGGTGTGGCGGGACGGCTGCGCGTCTGCTTTGACAGTCTGCAGCAGTGCCCGTTCGAGGTCAGCCACCGGCAGATCGGGGTACACGCGCGGCAGTGGAACAACTTTTTCGTGACAGTACCGGAGGGGTCTCATACGGTAGGCGTCATCGAAGCGTCAGTAAGCCAAGCCTAAGCCTAAGCCTCAATCTAAAGCCTAAATCTAAGTCAAAGAATAGACCTAAGCCTAAGCCTAACCTAAGCTTAAACCTAAGCATAAACCTAAACCTAAGCCTCAGCTTAAGCCTAAGCCTAAGCCTAAGCCTAAGCCTAAGCCTAAGCCGGTTTCAGATCCATTTCGTTGCGGACGGTCTTCGGAAGAACTACGTCGTCGGCCTCGACCACATCCAACTCCTCTCCAAGTACGGCCAGTCCGCGCAGCCTTGCTAAAGGGACTTGGAAGGCAAAACCCCACTGAAAAAAATGGTGTTAATAAATAGTAATTATTTTGTGTTTACTTTTCGCCATCTTGATAGTTTATAGTTTTATTAGGCTAAAAAACATGAACAAAAAACTGTGCACATATAGGACCTGCAAGAAGACGGGAGGGCAAATGCGGAATGTATCGGAATGAGTCGAAAAATGAAAATAAAAAAATAAAAAATGTATGGTGATCAGTTAGGGGAGGCGGGCTAGCAGAGGTTGTTTGGGATCCAACTGGGGAGATTATTAGTGGGGATACAGGTAATCGAATTGAAAAATAGCAATAAGGAAAATGCATAATATTTCAGCAGAGGGTGAAAAGAGGGGGGAAAATTTTAAAGGGACAGGTTTCTCTAAAAAGCCAGAACAAGCAAATTAGAAGTATCCGCCTCCTTGTCTCGGCGCATAATCATCGGCCTGTATCCTCGGCTGGCTGCCCGGGTTGACCATGATGATCGAGTCGACATTTTGGCAGACGCAGACACCGGGTTCCCCTGGTGGGCCAAGGCCTCCCATTGGACCCTCCGGGCCGGGATAGCCGGGCTCGCCCGGCTCTCCCGGAGTTCCGGGCCATCCACGATCTCCCTGCGATCCGGTGAGGCCGTTGCTGAAAAATATTGGTTTTGCTCTCTCTTTCTCTCTCCCCTGCTTTCTCCTATCTCTGTCGCTCTCTCTCTCTCTCTCTCTCTCTCTCTCTATCTTTCTGTCTCTCTCTATCCCTTCGTCACTATCTGTCTTTCTGCCTGTCTGTCTGCCTGTCTACCTATATTGCTCATGCTCACTTCACTCTCACTCGCTATCTTACTATCTCTCTGTCTCTGTCTCTCTCTCTCTGTCTTTCTCATGCTCCCTCTCGCTCGCTTTCTCACTCTCACCTTCTCCCTCTTCCACTCTCTCTTACCCTCTTTCTTTCTTCACATTACGCTCATTACCACGACTTCCCAAAGAATCTCTGCTAACCTACCCCTCCCCATTAATCCATGCCAGCTGCCTAAATCCCAAAAAACTCACTGTCCAGGCAATCCAGGCATTCCGCTTGCTCCAATGGGTCCAGGAGGTCCAGGATCTCCAGGTGGTCCCTCCTTCAGCTCTCCTTCAGGCGTCGGTCCCTTGTCTCCAGGTGCTCCAGGCCCCCCATGATACCCAGGGGGTCCTTGGGGTCCATCCTCTCCAGGAGCACCATCCTCACCATCATTGCCCTTCTGCCCTGGGGCTCCCATCGGACCTGGGTCTCCAGGGAAGCCGGGCCAGCCCTGAAAAATGGATTTGAGGTGGTTCCTCAAGAATCTCTGCCAGCTGGCCTCGGTGTGGCTCATCTACGACCGTTTGCGACTGAAAGAGTCTCTGCTAGCCTGCCCTTTCCTAAAGAATCTCTGCTAGCCCTCACCTTAATTCCAGGTGGGCCCTTGGGGCATGGCCGGCATGGCGGCGGCTCTCGCTGGCCCATAACTGGACAGGTCTGGTTCGGCGTTGTGCCGGGGATTCCCGGCTTTCCGGCTCCTCCCGGGTTTCCGGGCTTTCCGGGTTTTCCGGAGGGTCCACGCGGTCCCGGCGGTCCCGGGATGCAGCAGCCTGAAATGGGGAAAATTCTAATCTATCTTCCACTCTTTCTTTCACTCTCTGTCTCTCTCACCTGGGCACTCGGTTTCCAGCGGCGTTCCGGTCACCTCATCACCATACGACCGGATTGCCTTCCGCCTCAACATCGCGCCGAAACCCATCGCTCGCCGCTTTTCCCTCGTTCCGTTAACTGTCATCTTTCCGTACTCCAACTCGGCCAGGGCTTCTTCGTTGGATTGCTAGAAAAAATAGACGTTAAAGGCCGGTGGAAGGCAAAACTCGACCCTCAGAGGTACGCAAATACAATTTTTAGGCAAAACTTCTCACCTCGCAAAACGCCATCTCGGCCTCGACGTACTCGATCGTACTCTGGACGTGGTTGTACATGGCGGGGAGGGTGAGGCAGATAATGAGGAGGGAGATTGCACTGCAAAGGCATTTGCTAGCTGGATTGAGCCTAAGCCTAAGCCTAAGCTTAAAGGGCTGGAGAAAGATGGGCCGGCGTCCGTCGGGGTGACGGACCGCCGCGGCGCTACCATCGACGCTTTCCCTCGCGTAAGCGCCCCCAAAACCCCCCTCTCGCGTTTGAAGAAACCAGTTTATTGGCTATAACTTTTTCATTTAGCAATGTTTTCAACTAAAAATTTCCTGAAACCAAGGACTTGTTGGTACGCATCGATGGTAAAAATTTGAGCTGGATTGGATAAAAGGCGGTCAAGTTCTGAGCCATACGGGTTTTCGGGACACTGTTTTGGCTGAAAAAGAGGCGCATAGACAGCAAAACACCTCTAGAAAGTTGCAAAGTACGTTGTTATCCTTTAGCAAGATTTTCTACAACATTTTTTAGCTATTATCACCAAGAAATTGCTTTATTTCTATTGGCAGTTCTTGTACAGGTGGCAATGCGCCCTAGGGTATGTGGGGGCCCTCCGCCGCCCCTCTCCACTCGACTCTTTGGTGTACTGGCTAGCGCATCGGACTGCGGGGCGGACCAATGCTGGTTCGACCCCGGTCCGGTGCGACCCTCTTTGCTCTTTCATCGATTCAATCTTTCTCCAGCCCTTTAAGCGAAGCCTAAGCCTGAGCCGAAGCCTAAGCCTAAGCCTAGGCCTAAGTCCAAGCCTAAGCCTAAGCCTAAGCCCAAGCCTAGGCTCAGGCTTGCTTAAGCTTAAGCCTAAACCTAAGCCTAAGCTTCCCCACTCACCTAAAAGCAATCTGTGCTACGGTAATGCAGCGGAAGATCCGCTGCTGGGTCGCGCTCGAATCCGGGCACTTCGCCGACGCCATGTCGCTGAAAAGATGGATTTTTAGCGGCTTTTGGATCAGCTAAAGTAAGCCAAAGCCGAAGCCGAAGCCTAAGCCTAAGCTTAAGCGAAGCCGAAGCCTATCCCAAGCCCCCTACCTGCGCTTTATCGCCAGAAAATGGCCAGAGCCCGGGGAAGCTCCTCACCGAGACGGCGTCCTCGCACAACGAGTAGGTGCCCTGAAAATTTGGATTGCATCAAAGTCGTGTGCAAGCTTGTTTTAAAGGAGTCAGCAAGCTACGAATCCACAGCACCAGTCCAAAAACCAGATTTTTGTTATTTTTAAGAAGGAAAAAATGACGACGTTTCGATGCAGCAGTCACGAATTTGGCAATGAGTTTGAACGTCAGATTGATTTGAATGGGTCCGGAACGGCATAAAAGCATAGTTTTTCCGCAAAAAAAAAGTCGAAAAGAATAGTATTCACACTTCTAAGGGTGGAGCAAACCAAAAATCAGCTTCTAAAGGGAGCTTGACAGCTCAAAAAACGGCGCTTTACATAATAAGGCGTGAATAGTACCTCAGCTGGGCCAAAAAAAATCTAAAATTCTAGATGTAACTCAAAATAAAGCTTCTAAGGCTTAACTATCAACCAATCAATCAATAAGTACCTCCATCTTTTTATAAAAAATCCAAAAATGATTTATCCGGCCCGGGGAAAGAGACCGTAAGGGGTTGATGGGAGGCAAAGGGGTCGGCGGCGGTTGATTAGAGGAAACTGGGATTGTGGGTCAACGGCGAGAAAGTTCCGCCACGATCCCCTTAACGAGAGGGAGAGAGAAGAGAGGGGAGAGAGGGAGAGAGAGATATCCGGAGGAATATCAGTGCTACCGGGCACAGCCAATCACGAAATATGCACTGGAGCTGGCGTAGCTGATCGCTCGCTCTCTCTCTCTCTCTCTCTCCCTCTCTCGCTCTCTCTCTCTCTCTCTCTCTCTCTCTCTCTCTCTCTTTCTCTCCTTGGAAGCCTCAAATCTTTGCCCACCTTCTTCTCGCGCCTCAAACGTAGAAGTGGGCTGAATAGACGGCGGAAAGCGCGCACGAAAATCGACCGTTTCTTGGGCTCGACGATGCTGAAAATCAAAGTTTCCTGTCACTCTCCCTTTAGAATGAGTTTTTGGGGCTTTTGACCAAAACATTGTAATGTATGATAGATTAAAATTAGAGTGCCTTCCACGTCCCTTTAAAGGTGCTAGATGAGCCGAAGAAAAGAGGAGGACCATTCTTTCGAAATAGTCTAGATTACATTTTTCTTCCAATCCTTGAAAGCGCAAAAAATTGAAATAACAAGCAGGGATTCTTTAGCAACCCAGAAAACAAAGAAAGCTTCAGCAACGCTCACTTTCCGTTCTCGTCCAACTGGGCGGGCTCCGATGCCTTCGCCTTCTTCTTGTTCAGCTTCTGCTCCTTCTCCTTCTCCGCGCGGCGCTTCTTAACGGATTTGACGGTCCGCTTGGCGGGCACTGGCTCGTCGCCGACCTCCTCGAAGACCTCGGGCTCGCGGCTGGCGGCGCTGGTTGGCTCCTAAATGAGCTTAGGTGGCTGTAATGTTTGCCGGAAGCCTAAGCCTAAGCAAGCCTAAGCCTAAGCAGCCTAAGCAGCCTAAGCAGCCTAAGTCTAAGCCCATACCTAAACCTAAGCCTAAGCCTAAGCCAAAGCCTAAGCATAAGTTAAAACCTAAGCCTATGCCCAAGTCTAAGCCTAGGCCCAAGCCCAAGCCTATGCCAAAGCCTAAGCCTAAACATAACGATTTTCACAAGAATGTAAAGTAAAAATCCACAAGGTAGAGACGACGGATGGGCAGACTAGCAGAGATTCTTTGAGCGAGAGCTCCATAAAAAGAATTACCTGTTCTAACTGGTTCATACCCCCGCGGGGAGCACGTTTTAGCAAATTAGACGCCGGTCGTGATTCTAAGACGAATTGAGAGGTTGGTGCTCCAGAGGGGGTGCGGATAGGATGGGAATGGTGCGCGACTTGTCTCTCACTCTCTCTCCCTCTCTCTCGCTCTCTTTCTCTCTCTTCCTCTCTCTAACGCTCTCTTTCTCTCTCCCGCCCACGACAAGGTCACCGGCACCAATATGGAATAGATATCATCTCCCGCTATCTGCATGTCAGTGTCAGTCTGCCCAACCAGGCGGTATATATGTACCCTATCCGATCGGCTGAACACTTTAAAGGTACCGGGAAGGCAAAATGTTCTGATGTGTTCTGTCGCCATCCCTTTAAAGACAAAAAATGACTGTCTCAGTATAAAAAACCGCCTAAAAGTGTTTTTTTTATAAGTCACCGTCTCTTTAAAACGTTTTTAACCTATCGCGAGGCCAGAAAAAGCGCTTCGAAAAGGATTGGAAGGGGCACGAACGGCAAAAACTAGCAAATATAGTCTCTCTGTCTCTCTCGCTAGCTCTCTCTCTCTCTCTTTCTCTCTCTTTTCTCCCTGTCTTCTCTCTCTCTCTCGTTTTCTCTCTCTTTCTCTGTCTTCTCTCTCTCTCTCTTTTTCTCCCCCCTCTCTCTCTCTGTTTATCTCACTCTCTCGCTCAGTCTTTCTCCCTCTCTCCCTCTCCTACTAATTTTTCTGTCACACTCCCTTTAAACCCTCATTTTTCCTTGCCCCATCGGAAAACTTGAAAAATCGACGATCCCAGATTCCAGACAAAAAAACTATCAATGCCACCCTCTTCCAGAGTACACCCCCGGAATGTGCACTTCCCTGAGCATCATCCGCTTCCGGGGAGCCGCCGGACTGGGTTACGGTAATCGAGAAACGGGGGGCGGAACCCGTTTTACGACCCTCTCGAAAGTTGCGAATGGCCTATTTATTCTCGGGTGAGGCGGACTCATCATTCACTTTCCCTTTAGAATGGCTAGCTGTTTGGGGTTGAACCGCTGAACTGCAGATTGATGGAAGGGGAGTTCGAGAGGGCCGGGAAATTAGGGCACGGATCTTTGCAGCTATGTATCTCTCTCGGTCTCGCTTTCTCTCTCTCTCTCTCGCTCTCTCTCTCCATCTCCCTCTATCTTTCTGTCTCTCCCTATTTATCTCTCGTTATTAGGCTTTCTCTTTCTAGCCCTTTCGCCCTCCATCTCTCCGCACTCACTCTCACGCGTTTCGCTCGCACTCTCTCTATTTCTCTCTCCGCTCTCTTTCTCTCTTGCTGTCTCTCGTAGACTCTATTGCGCTCTCTCTAGCTTCACCTCTCTGTACCTATCTCTCTATCACACACTCTCTCTCTCTCGTACGCTCTCTCTCCCCCTTTCTCTCACACACTATCGTGCTCGCTCTCTCTCTGTCTCCCCCTCCTCTCCCCCTTCCTCCCCCCCTTTCTGCCCTCCTCGCTATCTCTTATCCAGACACTCTCTTGTTCTCCCCCTCGATTTTTCTCTCTCGAACTCGCTTTCTCGCTCTCTCCCTCCCCCTCTCTCTCTCTCGCTTTTTCTGGCTCTCTCTCTTAGGTGAATATTACACATTTATTAATTATCACTATAGATCCAAAAAAACAATATGATGCTTATCACAAGAATTTGGCACAAATGTTGAGGCATGCGGGATACGGTGGAATGCTGGGATGAGGAGAAAGACAAAAGAAAGCTTCCTTAAAAATTAAATTAATTTAAATTACAACATTTTCCATTTCTATACACGTATTTCTCAAGGGTGGGTGGAAGGGCTGGCGAATAAATTAACGAATCGTGAATTAAACTTCAGAAAATCGAGGACGGAAAATTCAGTAAAATTTGCGTGTTTATTGACGGTGGACGAGCTTTCTCCTCTTGCGGAGACGGCGCTTCCGCTTCCGCAAGGTCATGTATTCTGGGGCGGCCACGTGGGCCGGGGCCTCATTTGCATAGCCGGATGGGGAGGAGTCGGTGGGGGAGGCGGATGGGGAGGAGGCTAAAATCAGTGGTGTAATCTGGGTAATTCCGCAAGAATCTCCGCTAGCCTGCCCTTTCCTAAAGAATCTCTGCTAGGCTGCCCATTGCCCTGCAGTGATCCAAAAATCCCTGCTAATTGTACGAGTTCCCAAAAAATCTCCGCTAACCCTCCAACACATACCTCCACTTCCGCCGTATCCTGCGACACTGACGACCGGCTCCTTCTGGGCGGGTTGATGTCCGTTGACGTCATTCATGACGACTTCCGTATCTTGGCACACGCACGTACCGGGCGTACCGGTCGGGCCGGCTTCACCCTGAAAAATGGTATTTACAAATGGTCTTTCCAGCCTGCCTTATCCTAAAAAGTCTCTGCTAGCCTGCCCTTTCCTAAAGAATCTCTGCTAGCCTGCCCTTTCCTAAAGAATCTCTGCTAGCCTGCCCTTTCCTAAAGAATCTCTGCTAGCCTGCCCTTTCCTAAAGAATCTCTGCTAGCCTGCCCTTTCCTAAAGAATCTCTGCTAGCCTGCGCTTTCCTAAAGAATCTCTGTAGCCTGCCCTTTCCTAAAGAATCTCTGCTAGCCTGCCCTTTCCTAAAGAATCTCTGCTAGACAGCTCTTTCCTAAAAAAATTTATGCTGGCTTGCCCTTGCCTAAAGAATCTCTGCTAGCCTGCCTTTTGCCTAAGACATCGCTGCCACCTACCCTCGGTCCAATCGGTCCAGCAGGTCCAACAGGTCCAGGTGCCCCGGGCGGCCCTGGCCATCCCTTTTCACCTGGTGCTCCCGGGTATCCATCCTCTCCAGCACTTCCGGGGTGCCCAGGTGGGCCCCAGGGTCCTGGGTCTCCAGCCTCTCCAGGTGGCCCCGGGATGACGTGAGCCTGAAAAGTCGGGTTTAGCTATTTCGATGAGCTTGGGAGATTAAAGGGCCCGGCAAGGCAAAATACGATGGATTCAGCCGTTTATGACATTTTAAAGGGACTGGCAAGCTAAAAAATCGAAATTTTCCGCTAGCTCATCGTTTTCTCTTGTACTTGAGCGAATCTCGAGCCAACATTGCACTCCAAATAACTTCTCAAAAAAAGTGAATGCGTCTTTGGGAGCTTTGTTTGGCTGTCGAGACCTAGTCGGTGGCTGGGGTAGATTCTTACGCTTTCAGGCTCCTTTAAAGAAACCGGGAAGACAAAAGACGGCCCTGAAATTTTGATTCGACCGGAATACTGAACACTCCGTTCTCTACTTCCCTTTAGGCCTCTAAAACAAAAAATACAGTACCTCCGGGGTCCTGCCAAGATTTCCGGGTGGTCCAATGGGTCCTGGGACTCCAGGCGGGCCAGGCGGTCCAGGTTCTCCCATCTTTCCGGGCATACCATCGGCCCCGGGTCGGCCTCCGATTCCGGGGTCTCCCGGATCTCCTGGGAATCCGGGGTGGCCGGGCACACCTCGAGCGCCTGAAAATCGATCGGTATAATCAATAGTCTCTTTAAAAGGACAATTAAAGCCAAAAACAAACCCTGTGGGCACGGTAGGCATGGCGGCGGCTCGAAGACGCGCTCCGGGATGCAGCTGGCATTCGGGGTAGTTCCGGGACGTCCGGGAGCTCCATCGGGACCGGGGGCTCCGTGCATACCCGGAAGTCCGGAATCTCCGGTGGGTCCGCGCTCACCGGGGGTGCAGCAGGCTGAAAAAGGTGCGCGTGTGAGTTTGAGATCGATTTAGGAAAACTCCGGGCAAGGCAATCTAGCAGTGATTCCTTGGGAAGGCTGACTCGAGAGGGAAACTAGCGGAGGCTCTTGAGGAATGCTGATTCAGGGGGCAAACTAGCAAAACTCATTGAGGAATTCTGATGCAGAAAAAATTGGCCAAGTTCTTATGAAAAAAAAATTTGGGGACCTTTTGCGATCGAAAGCGAGCAAGAGAAAAAGAGAGAGATAGAGAAAACAGAGAAAGAGAGCGAGAGCGAGTAAGAGAGAACGAAAGAGAGAGCGAGAGAGAGCGAGTGATAGAAAAAGAACAAGAGAGAGATGGAGAGAGAGAGAGAGAGAGAGAGAGAGAGAGAGAGCGAAACAGAGAGTTAAAACACCCACCTGGGCACTCCTGGAATTGCGGGGTGTCGGCGGCCAACATCGACGGGTTGTAGTGCTGTCCGTAGTTGGCACGACGGGTTCTAAATTAATTAAATTCTATTTCCTGTGTTTTACTCAAATATAGCTCATCGGCTAGAAACTACAACTTTTTACACTCCCCACAGCACCCACCGGTTCTTCGTCAAGTCCAAAAACCGGTCCCGCAGCGACCCCATCTCCGTCTCCAGGTCAATGGCGGCATTCTGGAAAGCAAATAGCTGTTTCAGTATTCTCAAAGGATCGCTGCTAGCTTGCCCCCAAATCCACTACTTCCCAAAGAATCACCGCTACCCCACCTCGCAGTACGCAAAGTCCTGCGTCGAAAACCGGGCCGTGTTGGCGACAAAGTTGAACAACGACGGGAGGGTGACGCAGATCGTCAGGAGGGAGACGATCGACAGGATGGAGGAGATCTGAAAGATTGAGTCAATTAATCAGAGTGTGAGTCTAAACTAATCTATCTAAGCTAAGCGTAAGCCCAAGCCTCAGCCTAAGCCTAAGCCTAAGCCTGAGCCTACTAAGCCTGAGCTAAGCCAAGCGGAAGGAGCAGAAACACACCGTGATGATGTACTTGTAGGCATGTTCCCGATTCGGGTCCAGCACATCGAAGGGGCCGGCTTTTGGCCCGCCCGTCGATATCCGCATTCTGGTGTAAGGGGCCGGCCGGCCGGGGGGGATGGGACCAAGCTGAAAAAGCTACTTCACGACATCCAAAGCGATTTGAGGCACAACCGTGAGTATAGCTCAACATTCAGAAGTACCAGTGGATTACGCGTAAAAAAACTACAGAATATTTTCCGGTGAGCACGCTTGAAAATGGGAGGACTACAGATATTGGGGGCTCTTTTCCTAAGCCTAAGCCTAAGCCTACGCCTAAGCCTACGCCTAAGCCTCAGCCTAAGCCTAAGCCTAAGCTTAAGCCTAAGCCTAAGTCTAAGCCTAAGCCTAAGCCTAAGCCCAAGCCTAAGCACCTGCCGCCGAGCCGTAGCCTTCGAGTTTTGACAATCTAGACAGCTAGAGCCAGCAGAGACTTGAGGAAAAACCGGAAGTGTACGACCGGAAGGCAGAACAGCGGAAAGCCGACGGTTTTAAAGGGGGCCGGACAGGAAGAAGACCTTTAGGAAGCGGACATGAAAACCTGAACTTTTTGAAGCTACAATCAAAGCAGGTCCCGCTTAGAAAGGCCCTTTAATAGAATCAAGCGAAATAAAATATGGCCAAAGGAACTTTGAAGCACAAATTTTGTTAAAAAAATAGAAACATTTTAGAGACAAGCCGATCGAGCGACTTAATCACACATAAATACAGGAAATTCTGCTAACTTTGTGAATTGGAATCGCCAGAAAAATCTGCGGGCTTCACCCATACGAGACCCGGTTCACGCTATTTTGAGGCTCAAAGTTGTCGACCCTCTGTGCCCTCCTAAAAAAATCGAGAAAGGCCCGGAAGTCACATTAATAAAGCGAAAGTATGTAACAATTTTTCAGCCACTGAAGCCGGCCAAAAAAAAAAACTAGGCGGGTGGGGTTCATAAAAGAAAAGGGTAAAGGCAGGTGGGGGGCTGATAGGGCCGCAGAATCAGTGGCTGGTGATCGGGTCGAGGAGGGGAAATTGGGTCAACGAAGGGGAAATCGGAGGATGGAAGGAATGGAAGACAGGCTATCACCGGGGATATACGGGAAAGGGACTACGAAGGAAGACTATTGACGGGGTGGAATTTGTCTAGTTATGGAATCAATTGGGGGATTGGGAGTTAAAGGGCCTGGCGAAAAAATTTCTGCGTCTCTGCTAAGAATCTAGGCTAGTCAGCGCTTTCCTAAAGAATCTCTGCTAGCCTGCCTTTCCTAAATAAACTCTGCTAGCCTGCCCTTTCCTAAAGAATCTCTGCTAGCCTGCCTTTCCTAAATAAACTCTGCTAGCCTGCCCTTTCCTAAAGAATCTTTGCTAGCCTGCCTTTCCTAAAGAACCTCTGCTGGCCTGCCCTTTCCTAAAGAATCTCTGCTAGCCTGCCCTTTCCTAAAGAATCTCTGCTAGCCTGTTCATCCAAAACCAGTTCCGACCCTGGTTACGGAAGTCCGACCGCATAAAAATATAATTTCACCTTGATACCGTACCCCTCTCTGCGTATCATCCCGGGAGTGCGACTCCCATTCCTCAGGCACGATCCGTTTCCAAACTATCAGCAGTCCGCGCGAGCCAAATTTGGGTCAATCATCCAACGGGCCGCCGGGGTGAGAGAGAGGAAGAGATAGAGAGAAGAGAGAGAGCGAGAGAGAGAGAGAGAGCAAGCGCGCGCACCGTACGCCCGGTGCCGCCCCGCGGATAGCAGAACCTTTGCGCGCGCGGGAATTTTCCAGATACCACCAGCAAAGAGGGCGCGAGAGATAGCAACACCAATCGGCGGCTGGCTATGGTTTCACCGAGGGATTGCAGGAACCTTAAAAGACGAAGCCTAACGACGCCTAACTAAACTTGTAGGCAATCTAGCATCCCGGAATCAGCGTTTCAAGGCGGTTCAAATGAGTCTGGAACGACATTATGACGAGCTCGACTGGCTGAAGCGAATTTTCGCAAAAATTGATATCCCCCCTTTGCTCCAAAACGACAAAAAATGACATTTCGAAAAATCCTAACACCGACACCAGGCCCCCCCCCCCTCCCCAAGATTTGTACTAACAAGGAGTGTCCTTTTGGTGTCATCGGCAAAACGATTCGTGACCCAGCTCATTCGATAGAGAATTGAATTCTAAACCAGCTCCCGTTGTTCATTTTTGCGGAATGGCTGTCCCTTATTTTAGAGGTTTAAAAAACTGCCGGCGACCCCATACATTGGTGCTTGGGGAGCGAGTTGTTAAGGTTCCGCGCTTTGGTTTTTTAATTCTATAAAATTAGGGACAACCATTCCGCAAAAATGAACAACACAGTCTAGTTCAGAATTCCATTCTCTATCGAATGAGCTTGGTCTCGAATCGTTTTGCCGATGACACCAATAGGACACTCCTTGTAAGAGTTTTTCGGTACCATTTTTGATGCTCTTTCAGATGCATAAGTCAAAACGATTTGGCAAGGGTGATTTCTCGCTTAATCAACCTTGGAAGGTACGACCGATAACGGGGCTGTCGCGTGTCTGGATTTGGATGAAACGGCAGGACTATTTTTTCAATTTTCCTAGGTTCTCGGGAGATGAATTTGCTAAATCTTTTGCTTTCCTCTGCCTCTCTCTCTCTCTCTCTCTCCCTATTTCTCTCGCTCTCGCTCCAAGAAGTCGAGGGTAGCAGAGTGCCGTCTAAGCAAATTGCGGTCGTCATGGAGCCCCGCGGCAAATTTTTCTGTTGTGGGCCCTCGGCTGGGTGTGTGTGATAAAATATTGGGGGCCCAAGAACAAAGGAAGAGGCATCATTTTACGAATCGGGCGGCATCGCGCGGAACACCCTTTCCCGGAAATACCTTCCGGTTTTTTACTGAGGTTTTCTTGGAAGTGGTATCGATTGTAGTTTCCAGTCAGAATTAACGTCGGCTTAGCGCGCTGGCAAGCCTACTCGTTTTAGACTTGGGCTTAGGTATAGGCGTCGGCTTCGGCTAAGGCTTAGGGGCTTAAGCTTAGGTATTAGGCTTAAGTTAAGGCTTGGGCTTGGGCTTGGGCTTAGGCTTCGGCTTGAGCTTCGTGAACGTAATCCTGATCGCCGTGGGAGCTTGAGCAGGAGCTTAAGTTCTGGTTGGAGCCCGAGCCATAGCTGGCATCATGACTGCATCCGTTTTTTTTGTATTTTTTACTATATTTTGGCTCGTTCGAAGGGCCAGTTTTTGCAGCTACATTTTTTGCACGTTTTCTTCTCTCCATTCCAGATCTATGCAACTTGCGCCAATCCCGCTAACCCCCTAATTCCATCCCATTCCTCCGCACATTTCAGGTAAACCTAATTGGCAAGGGTCTCTCCCCCCTGGCGACACACCAAACTAATGGCCATTTCTCGCGCCGCGGTCTCCCCATTAACTACAAAACCGTGCGAGGAGCCTGGCGGAAAAACAGACTCGCACACATTCCCAGTCTATACTAACATTGAATGGCGCTTTTTGGTTTACGTGTTGCTCGCTCTCTCTCTCACTCACTCTCTCACTCTCTCTCGCTCTCTCTCTATCTCTCCGTTCTCTCTTTAAATGTCTCGCGCGCGCTCTCTCGCTCTCTCTCTCTAGCTATGTCTCTCTCTCTCTCTCGGTTGCGCTTTATATCCGCATACTGTAATTTTTCAGGGCAATGGACCGGCCGATGTCGAAGTCGAGGCTGCCGATTATGACGAATTCGCCGATCGCTGTGAGGCGACAGGTAGACTGGCTAGGCCACTCCGCCTTCAAAGGGGACAACAAGCGGCAGAATCGACGCAAGCCGACGTCTAGGTCTCGACAGCTACGCCGTATTTCAAACGACGCTTACGGAAACCAATTCATGCCTTTAGGGGAACGATTTACAAACAAAATTAAGATAATTCAGGTGTCATTTGGAGTAGCGCGTGAGTGTTGAGGCCTAGAGGAGGAAAATGGTTGATCCCGGGGCTTTCCAGTGCTTAAAAAAGCGTACAATGGGGGTTAGACTTAGGCTTATGCTTAGACTTAGGCTAAGGCTTAAGCTTAGGCTTAGGCTTAGCTTCGTTGGTTTTATTTTTTGTCTTCTGATTATTGGCCGATCCCCGTTCTGCCCGGGTTCCCCCCGTAAATGGGGTAGCGTCGCGTAATCGGCGGCTCAACCACACGATTCATAAAAGACAATAGAAGGGGCTCCACACCGTCCGATTGCGCACGAACATCAAAAGAAATTTTGTCGCGCTGGATAATCCGCTAGGTGTCAGGGGGGTATTGAGGGGTATTCAAGCTAAACGACCTCAATTTTGAGGGCTGACGCCTGAAGTCTTCTCGTTTTCGAATTTGATCTAGAAATGTTGATCTTTGGCTTTGAAACGCAATTTTAGGGAGACGGGCTAGCAGAGATTCTTTGGGAAAGGGCAGGCTAGCAAAGATTCATTAGGACAGGCAGGAATTCTTTAGGAAAGCTTGCGAAATCGAAATTTAGCAGAGAATTTTTCGTGCAATAGCCGCGAGATGCTAGAAAGTTGCAAGCTAGCGGAGATCCTTGAGGAAAATGGATGTAGAGCAGGCTGGCAGAGATTTTTTAAAGATACGGAGAAAATCTGCGGAACGGATTTCCCCAAGGATCTCTGCTAGTTAGCGTTTCTCTCTCCCCCCTCTCTCTCTCTCCCTCCTCCCCTCTCTCTCTCTCTCTCTCTCTTTGCCTCCTCCAAAAAGATCGTACCCACCGGTGCCCCTTGTTTTTTGTAGCTTGTCCAAGCGGCTACCTGCTCTCTGAAATCCGCGGCTAATTAGGGCCGGCTTTATTTTTTTCCGCAGCGTTCCTCTTAACGGCCCGAATCGTAAAGTGGTACCTTTTGTTTGAATCGGCTAATGAGCCGGGGTAAGCATTTGCGGGCAGGGAAAGCTAGCAGAGATCGTTTTCGCTTACAATTAGGCTTAGAATCAGGCTTAGGCTTTGTTAGACCTAGCTTAGCTTGGGCTTTAGTTTCCGGTGAACTTTGGTGGCTTATTCCTGATTAGTTCTGCGCGCTACGCACGGCGCTAATTTAGCAATTTCGTGGAAGCGAAAAATTCGGGCTGGAACTTGCACGGACGCGTAGTGTTTTGATCTCGGGTCCCAAGGGGGAAGAGGGTCAGAAATTCAGGGAAGATGATGTCTGTAGTCGGGAATTATGGAAATATGATCTCCGCTAGCCTGACCTTTCCTAAAGGATCTCTGTTAGCCTGACCACTCCCAAAGATTCTCTGCTAGCCTGCCCCTCCCGAAAGAATTTCTGCTAGCCTGCCCTTTCCTATAGAATCTCTGCTAGCCTGCTCTCCCGATTTACACCACGTAATAGACCACGTAATTGATGAATCTCTTGGAATCTCCAGGGAGAATTCCGAAGCGGATTCCAGAAAAAGTGAGTAACCCCCGGCCTCCCGATTTTCCCACCACCCCCTTGATTGTGGCATGGTACGATTCGGTCCCGACTGCTTTTTCCCAGGCTTCTGTGGGGTGATTAATTCGAAAATTTTGTTTCTCAACCCTCAGAATTTTTTAGAAAACTAAAAATAATTTTCGGTCTTTGAAAGCAGCGTTTTAGATTTTTAAAATTTCAGCTCTCAAAATCCACGCAGCGATCGGCGCCTATCGTCAACCCCGAGCCGCTGAAGAAGAACAACAACGTTTTGGAGATGGACAAGGTGAGAGAGAGAGGGAGAGAGACTGAGAGCGAGAGAGAGCGAAAAAAAGAGCGAGAGAGAGAGGGATAGAGAGAATGGGAGAGAGACGCGACAGTTTTTAAGGGACGCGAAAACGAGGAGCTCGTCTGCATCGGGCGCGCCAAGCCGCTGATTCGCGAGTCGTCGAGGGATAAGGTGAGTGACGGGGCGACTAGCGTACCTACTCTGCCGTACCTTACTAGTCCGTACGGTAGCGCACTTTAGCCAACGTTAGCGTACCGTTTTTTCGGCGTCGTATCGTGTCGTACTAGAGTACAGCACCAGACTGCCGCGTATTTTACCTTACTCTCACGTACCTAACCTTCCCATGGCGTACCGTTCCGCACTCCGGCGTAATGTCCCGTCCAATGGCGTAGTTTTTCGTACATTCGCGTACTGTGCCGGTCTCTGGCGTACTGCTTTCTACCCTCGCGTACGGAGCCGTACTCTGCTGCAATGTCTCCACTACCTCACGTACCGGTCCGACGCTTGCATACTGTTCCGTACTCTCGCGTACTTTTCCGTGCTTTCCCGTGCTCTGCCTTGTGCTGGCGTACTGTACCGTACTCTCGCGTATTGTGCTCTATGCTGGCGTACTGTCCCGTACTTTTACGTACTGCCGCGTACCCCTGGCCAACTCTGCTGTACCCTGGCGTACTGTATCGTACTCTCGCGGGTCCGTATGCTGGCGGTGTACTGCGTTATGCGTAAAATCACGAAAAATTTCGTTAAATCGAGAATTATAGGTCCTACAGCCCTCCCGAAACATCGACAAGCAACCGTCAATCGATCAGGTTCATCTACCAGCGCTTCAGGTGTGGCTTTTGCCTTTAACGACCCTTTAAATCCAGTTTCATCGTTAAATTCACCTGGTTTAGAGTCGGCCCCAATCAGATCGGGAAAGCCCGGCTTCGACGGATCGCCAAGACCCTCCACGTCGACTTGGCGGGACGCGGATCGTCAGCGGGAAATTGAGACGAGAAGCCATGGCGCTGAAGCAGGAACCATCGATGGAGAGAGGTTAGGCAAAGGCTGAGGCTTAGGCTTCGGCGTAAGCTTAGGCTTAGCTTACGGTTCGGCTTAGGCTTAGGCTTAGGTTGGGCTTAGGCTTATGCTTACGCTTCATTCCTTTAGTACTCGAATCCGAACAAACCTCGCGCTCCGAGACGCCTGACTTCAACTCCCTCCACGTCAACGTGCATTCGACTGGGTCGGAGCGTAAGTTACGAAAACGCCACGAAAATTTTATTTCAGTCCGAATGACGGGCAACCCAAGCCGGATACGGAATGTTGGTAGCCACCTGCTTCAGCGCGTCATCCGACTGCAGGGCGAATTGGCGAGGAAGGAGCAGGAGATATGGTAAAGCATCCCTGCTAGTCTGCCCTTTCCTAAAGATTCGCTGCTAGCCGGTCCCCAACAAAAGCCTTTTTTAGGGAATTACGAGCCGGCACGATGCCTCCGTCAGCTCAAGGCATCCGGCAACGAAGCCCATTCGATCAAGGTATGGTTTTTTGGCATTTTAAAGGGGCTGGGAGTTCTGGAACGTCTGGGCTCCTAATTGGCGCCTTGCCAAAACTCCAAAAACCTAGATTTTTCCTTTTGCAGCCCCTTTAACCGATTTTTCAGCCGGATATGGTGTGAATTTCTCGAAAATTCCGCAGCCACTTCATACGCATTGGCAAAAGCGGCCGTCGCTGAATTACATCGGACTGGTGATCGATCCGGATCAGTATGCAGATGAGGTAAGCTAGCAGAGATTCTTTAGGAATGGGCAGGCTAGCAGAGATTCTTTAGGAAAGGGCAGGTTAGCAGAGATTCTTTAGGACAGAGCAGGTTAGCAGAGATTCTTTAGGAAAGGGCAGGCTAGTAGAGAATCTTTAGGAAAGGGCAGGCTAGAAGAGATTCTTTAGGAAAGGGCAGGCTAGCAGGGATTCTTTAGAAAAGGGCAGGCTAGCAGAAACTATTTGCTATTTTCAGACCGACCCAGCCCTAACGGCCCTCCAGCTTCAACAGTATGCCAGGGAGAAAAAGGTACCGTATCCCTCGTTTTTGTAGTAAAAAATTCTTTTAGAGCATTTGTTTAGTTGTTTTTCTAGACTGAAACCGAGGTCTACCATGCCCTCGTTCGAACTCTGGCTAAAAACCTGAAAAATTTCAACGACAGGTCGGTTTGAAGGGGGCAAAGACGAGGCCTGGATTTTTAGGGCCCTTGCGCACTCATCGCGAGAATATTCAGAAGTTTTTCATGCCATCGAAATTGCGCTGGAGGAGCAGGCGACGCTCACCAAGGTGAGGGTGGGCGAGCGGGGATTTTTAGGCGAAAATCGGGCAAGCTAGCCGGGATCCTTGAGGAAAATTAGATGATTTGGGCAGGCTGGCAAGAGTTCTTTGGGAAATGAGGCTGGGACGAATCGCAAAGAGATTTTAGAAAGCAAGCAATGCAGGCTAGCAGAGATTCTTTAGGAAAGAACAGGTTAGCAGAGACCATTTGTGGGTTCCAGAAAATCGAGATGAGCTGCGAGGTGTACCTGAAGAAGCTGGGGATGAAGGGGGACGACGTGTCGAGGATGAAGCTCATGTTTCGAGATGAGGTGTATCATCGGATTTATGTGAGTTTGGGAGAGAGAGAGAGAGAGAGAGAGAGAGAGAGAGAGAGAGAAAGAGAGAGAGGGAGAGAGCGAGAGAGATTTTTCAGCTGCTCCTAAAACAACTCGAGTCCGTTTTCCCGGTGATAGGTGACGCAGCAGCGATCGCCAGGGAGAGCCTGAGGGCCAGCAACATTTTGAGCGAATGGAACCGGCATTTACAGGTGAATTAAAGGGCAGGCTAGCAGGGATTATTGAGGAACCTTCTCTAGCTGGAAATGGGCAGGGCCAGCGTGCAGAGACCCGTTCGGAACCGAAAATTTTGTGTTTCTCCCCCTTTAAACCCAATTTCCAGAACGAGATCTCAAAGAAAGGACTGTCCTCCGATCTTCTGAACAGGGCCAGCTCCAGCTTAAAGGTACGGTAGTTCAAAGAGCGAGAGTCAAAGAGAGAGAGAGAGAGAGAGAGTGACAGAGAGAGAGAGATAGTGAGAGAGAGATGGCTAGAGTGAATCAGCGCTTTAATCCGTCTTTAGGACCTTTTCGGAGCCGAGGGACTGGAGCGTCATTGGGTGCCGGCCGTACTCGCCCCCCTCGTCGAAGTGTTCGGTGTCGAGGTCGAGAAGGCTGCCCCTCAGTCTACAGTATACCAAGATAACCTCTACCATCCGGAAATCCTCGTCTGCCCCAGCTGCCATCACTCGGGGAATATGACAAGTACAGGTAAGAGATAAGAGGAGTGAAAGAATAGAGAATAACTTCGCCCGTAGTGGTGACGTCAAACGCATTTTTGAGCGCAATTTTCCGAGCGCGAGCTGTTGCTCACCAGTTTTTCGGAATCTGCAGGAAAAAGTGCATCTAAAACCGTTTTTCGATGATTTTTAGTAAACGAGAGAAAAGAGAGAGATGAAATGAAAAAATCGGTTTTCATTTCATCTCTCTCTTTGAAAAAAATGAAAAACTGCATCGGAATCGGTTTTTGAATAAACAAATGCGTGAAAAGCGTCTTCCTCTCACCCTCCCTTCAAAACCCGCCCCAGAAATTTCAGAGGGCTCCCAGTCGGGGGAGCGGCACAGCCCGGCGGAGGCGCAGGAGGAGCTCGCAAAACTTGAGGATATGGTCGAGGTCGAGAATTTTGAGAAGGTATTCTAAAATCGGGCCGATACCGTATCCTGATCTTCAGAACGAGGCTCGGATCGAGCTGGATGAGACGAGGGGGCAGCTCGAAAAGGAGAAATCGGTGGTCGGGGAGCTGCACGCGGAGGTAGGGGGCTAAGTTGCTCACTCTCTCTTTCTCGCTCCCTCGCTCTCCTCTCTTTTATTCATAGTTTTTTAGATAAAAGACCTGAACTCCTTGGTGGCTGAGCGGGAGCGAGAGATAGCCTCCCTCAACGAGACCGTGGAGGATTTGATGAATCAGATTCAGACGTTGAATGAGGTAAAGACTCTCTGCTAGCCTGCCCTTTTATAACGAATCTCTGCTAGCCTCCGCATCCTGGAGAATCTCTGCTAGCTACCTCCCTGTGCCAATTTCAATTCCTAAACTCAGGAAAAGCTCAACACCCTCGGCCGACTGCTCGTTTTGGAAGCGGAAGTGGCCCAGCTCAGCCAGCGAGAACCAGAAGCTGCTTCTGGAGCTCCAGTTGGACCCGTTGATGTCGTCAGAATTGATGGTCTGCAATCCAGCCCGGGTTTGTTCCGAGAAACGATAATGGAGGAGGACGAGGATGGCCATCAATCGACTAGGACGACGAAGGTGGGCTAGCAGAGATCCTACTATATATAAAAAAAATAGTGTCTGTGTGTGTGTGTGTGTGTGTGTATATTTGCATGCACTTCCGTTAGGATGTTCCGCTCCTACAGCCTTGGGGAAGGGTTTTTTGGATAGGGAAGAAACGACAATAGGTTTAGAATGGTCCGGAATCGACTGCACACACATAAAAATTTTGAAAAGTGGCGGTTTTCGCTATTAAAAATAGGTTTTTGTAAAATCCTGTTTGTTAGGGGAAATTAGCATACGCCGGAAGTAGGAAGAGCCTATATAAAGGGACAGAGGAGCCGTTTTTCACTTTTTTTTTCTTGCTAGAATTCAGGAAGAAACATGCAAATTAAGGACTTTCACAGGTCCTGGACGGGGCCAGGGTTGAAAAGCCGCGAAGCGGTTTTTCAACCCTGGTTTTTTAGGAAAGGGTAGGCTAGCAGAAATTCTTAAAAAATCCAGCTTCCCAGAAAATCCCTGCTACTGGCTCGAATCCCAATTTCCAGAGCCTTCAAATCTCGATGGATGACGGCCACATCATCTCCAGCCAGCCGTATGCGAGTGAGGAGCACGACCAGGCTGGTGCTTGTGAGACGATAGCTTCCCCAATTTTGGAAAAATCTGAAGAAACCCCTCGTGACTTGGCGACGTCGTTGATAGGGGAGGTGTTGGAGAGAGTGGAGGGGGATGCGGCTCAAGCGCAAGCTGGAGCTCAGGCTGAAGCGGGAGATGAGGCTCAATACGAAGCTGGAGAAGAAGTTGGAGATGAAGCACTGACCCGAGCGCCAGCTGGAGATGAAGCCCAAGCAAAAGAAGCTCAAGCTCTCGGCGAAGCTGAGTTTGGTGCTCAAGTTCGAGAGGAAGCTGAAGCTCAGGCAAATCATGAAGAGGGAGCTCCACAGGAAGATCAGGCTCGAAAACAAAGCCAACAAAGCCAAACTCAAGTGGGGCTCGAAATCGAAAGCCAAGAGCACGTAGCCGAGCCGAGAAAACGAAGCCTAGAGCGCCAAGAAGCCGAGGAAGCGGAAAACGAGGCCGACTTACCTTCTGAGCTTGCCAAGCCAAGCGCCCCCGAGCTTGAGCCTGAGCCTGAGGAGGAGGTCTTCGAAGCGAAAAGCGAACTAGGAACTGGAGGAGAAGCCGAAGCAGCCCAGTTTCAAACAGGAGAAGCGCAGGAAAAACCCGTTCAGGCAGAAGAAGAGGCTCAAGCTCAAGACCCTCCGTCGGACGAAGACGATCTTCTAGGGCTGAAAAATCAGCGATTTGCATATAGCGTGGAGATGGCTGACGATGCGAATGAGCCCGTTCAAGTCGCTGAAGTCGTTGGAGCTGACGAAGCCGTTGAACCTGTCGATGTCGGCGAAGCCTCTAAAGCTTCACCGGCTCAATCTGCCGAAGCTGTCGAAGCCTCTAAAGCTTCACCGGCTGAACTTGCAGAGGTCGATGAAGTCGTCAAAGCCGGTGAAACCGCTGAAGCCAATAAAGCTGGTCAAGCCTTTGAAGTCGATGAAGTCGCCGAAGCCAACTCAGAACCCGACTTGGCCTGCGATTCAGCAGCGCTGGATGAAGCCTTGGCTGGGCTTGATGGCCCCGAATCGCCACCTACCGTAGTCCTCGAGGAGGAAGAGGATGAGGATGAGGAGCCCTGGGATGCAGGGATTGATCTCGAGGCAGCGATGAGCGCGAGGGTCGATCAGGTCTCGGTGGATTCGAGGTAAGTAGGCTTCGCTTTAGGCTTAGGATTATGCATAGGGGCTTAGGTTTAGGCTTAGGGTTTAGGTCTTAGGGGGACTTTGGCTTACGTTAAACATAGCCTTAGGCTTAGGCTTCATGATTCATACAATCCAGAGCAACATTCAACCCGGAAGACGAGCCCCAGCGTCAGCAAGAGGGTCAAGAGGAGCTACTACAAGAAGAAAGCGACCAAGCTGGATACCCACATTTCTCAAAGCAAAATAGCTTGGCTTCACAGAGCGCACCGTACGCAGTAGTCGAGCGGAAAAGCTCCGAAAATCCGGATGAGATGAGCTTGAAGGAGGAGGTGGGACTCCAACTATTTCACTCTCTCTCGCTCTCTCCCTCTCTCTCCCTCACTCTAGCCTATTTTACAGGATTCCGTAGCCACCGTAATCTACCGTAGCCCAGAAGGCAGAAGATCTGATGAGGCGCTGTCGATCACGACTGAAGAGGTCGACCAAGACGAGATCGTACGGTAAGAAAATTCTGAAGACAAAAATGAAAGTTTGACTATTGTAGAATTCTATCCTCTCGTTCGGAAGACCTGGAAATACCGGGGTCGGCTACGGAGGATGAAGCCGATGAAGCTGACGAGGTTTTCCAGGGCCAGGAGGGCAAAGAGCAGGTGAGAGCGAGAGAGAGAAAGAGAGCGAGAGAGAGAGAAAGAGAGAGAGAGAGAGAGAGAGAGAGAGAGAGACAGAGAGAAATAACGACTTTAGGTCCCACGTGGAATCGGCAGGCTGGCGCTCGGCTCCACTGAATCGCTCCTTGAGGCTGAGGATGAAAGTGAGAAAAAATTTGTTTTAAAAGGAGGGTGACTGCAGAATTTCGTGGGCGTAGGCTAGCAGAGATTTTTTAGGAAAGGGCAGCCTAGCAGAGATTTTTTAGGAAAGGGCAGGCTAGCAGAGATTCTTTAGGAAATGCAGCCTAGCAGAGACCCCTTGGGAAACCCATCCTCACAATCCCGTTAAGAAATCGAGCACGAGCTCGAACTGCTGTCAAACCAGGTGAAGGAGCTGTACAACATCAAGGACAACTTGGAGGAGCGATTAGGCGCTTGGAATCCGGAATTGTAAGTGTATTTTTGCATTGAATGGTTCTTAAAGTCTTGTAAAACTAAATCTTAATCTTTCAGGAGTGGTCCGGTCTATCCGGAAAAGGTTGAAGATCCAGTGAAGGAGATGGAACGACGGCAAAAGGAGGTAGTCAAAGAATCTCTGCTAGCCTGCCCTTCCTTAATAAATCTCTGCCAGCCTGCTAACTCAATTTTTCAGTTCAATCGCGTCGCAGGCTACGTCTTTGAACTGCTCGAAGAGGACGTCGAGCTAGACACGGATGCTCGTCAATTATCGCTCGAAGAAAGGGGGCAGCTACGCACTCGGGTTATTCAGCGGATCGTTGAACATCTACACCGGATAATCAGGTACGTTCGTTAACAGGGATTCTTGCGGAATTTGACCTTTTAGAAATGACGACCCTCCGGCTCCACAAGCTGATGCTCAAGATCAGCGCCTCGGAATGTACACCCGGTTGAAGAAGATGCAAACTTTCGATGAGGGAGCGTCCGGGTGGGTGGCTAGCAGAGATTCTTTAGGAAATGGCATGTTAGCATGGATTTTTGAGGAAAATCAGAAGATTTATTGTGTCTTCAAAACCCTAAAGATGGGTTTTTCAGATTCAATTCGGACGCGGATCGGATAGTCAGTGCAGAAATAGCTACAGACCAGTGGGTTTCTCTCTCTCTCTCTCTCTCTCCTTCTCTCTCTCTCTCTCTCTCTCTCTCTCTCTCTTTCTCTCTCTCTCGCTCTTTCTCCTTGGTTTTTAAGCAAGGATCAACAAGGATTTCAGAATCAACAACAACGCTCAACCCGTCGCCGAGATTGCCCAAAACGTAAGTAGCATCTTGTCTTCGTCGTCGCTTTTCGCCTTTTCAACTCTTTTCGGCTTACTTTCCCGTTTTAACTTTCGTTTTTAGTAGCCGCGCGTTGTCGCGTCGCGTCGCTTACTGTATCGCAAATTATGTAGATGTACAATCTGCTATTAGTGTGTTTATCACTCCCAAATATCGTAATTTTCGCCGAGTTAGCCCTGTAGGTAAGCGATGTGTGCATGTGTCTGTGTTGAAGGGTACGGTAGATGGACCATTCCTAAATAATCTTTGCTAGCCCGCACTTTCTTAAAGAATCTCTGCTAGCTTGCCAGTCCCAGCTAGCTTACCCCAAAAGCGCAGCATATCCTCAATGTTGGGCAAGCCAACTGAGAACCCCAGGCTTGATGAATTTCCAAAAAAAACCGTCTACCGTATCCCAAACTTCCTGATTTGCGTTGCATGCGTGGTCGGTCATTCCTGAGTTCCGTTTCCGTCCTAATTACGTAAAAATTCTGGATAAAAATTGAATAAGACCTAATTCAGATGACAGCCCATATGCAGTCGCACCTCAACACCGCCTACGGTAGACCTGGAGGGAGGGGATGACACGCGACGCTGGCACGCGACGCCGAGGGCCCAGATCTCGATCCCAGCCGATGCAGCTGCCCGTGGTTCAGCCGAGGATGAAGTTTTAAAGGAATTTGGAAGGAGATAGAGAAAGAGAGAGACAGAGAAAGAAAGAGAGAGGGCAAGAGTGAGAGAGGGAGTCAGAGAGCGACAGAGTGCAAGAGCGAGAGAGAACGCAAAAGCCAACGAAATCGAGCAGTTTTAGACGACTTCTCACGTGTCGCCTGGTGTCTCTCTCTCTGTCTCTCGCTCTCTATCTCTCTCTCAGCCTCTCTCTCGCCATCCGTCCCGGCCCCTTTAAAATTCCGCCCCCATCCTCTGCCCACCGTCGTCTCTTCCCCCTCTTCACTCTGGAACCGGTTACCCCTTGCCGGAGTGGAGTACTAATTCGCCGTCTACCACCCCCCACTTTCCGCCACTTTACTCTGTTCTCCTCGATTTTTCGTCATTTGTGATTTTGCGTGATTTTTCGATTCTTCAATGCATATCTCCGCGTCTGAATTCTAGGGATTCTAAATACATAATTATCGATTCGCCCGGTGTTCCATAGCAATTTTCCATCCCGTTTTGCTCAGATTTTTGACTCTTTGGCCCGAGCGCCAGATGTTTATCTACTTAAGATTTTATCGGCTGAAACTCTCGACTTTTCGCGGTGACACTGCAATAAATAGAGATTTGTCTCAACGTGGAATGTTGGAAAATGCAAAGATGTGTTTTTGGTAGGTCTAGCGGCGAGATGTATTTTGAGGGCTTCTTGACCTTCGGGTTAGAGCGAGGCAGAGAGAGACAGAAAGAGAAAGAGAGAGAGAGAGAGAGAGAGAGAGCGAGAGTACGAGAGTGAGAGAAAGATCAGAGTGATAGTGAGGGAGAAGAGCTGAAGTCGATGTTCATCTCATTGTTTCCAAAAAAATCTCTGCTAGCTTGCCTTTCCTATAAAATCTCTGCTAGCTTGCCCCTTCCTAAAGATTCTCTGCTAGCCTGTCCTTTCCTAAAGTTCCCACACCCCGTTGCTTCGTTTCCCCTCGCTACCGAAGGCCATGTTTTTTGGCGCGACTCGTAGTCATATGGGGCAGGTGGGCCCCCTAGGCCCTAAAAGGCGTCTCCCTGGAAACGCAGCTCTGAGCCCACCTTGAGGCCCGGTGTAGGGCCCATTTATCAGCCCCAGCCGCTCGTTATATTGGCTTAAATTAGCGGCGTCGGCTGTCGAATTGAAGCCATAAATTTGGCAAGAATTTTGCAAAAAAAAAAATTGCGGCGCTGAATCGATTACGGCATGGAAGGGGACCATTATCGGGGGGCCAACATTTAGTTCTTAGGATTTAGTTTTCCAAATTTAAGTTTCTAAATCGTGTTTACTATTCATAAACGTGGGAACTTCGTCAATTTGTGTCTCTGCATGTCTCTCTCACTCTCGCTGTCTCTCTCACTCTGTCTCTCTCACTTTCGTCTCTCTCACTCTCGCTGTCTCTCTCTCTGTCTCTCTCGCTCACGCTCTCTCTCGCTCTCGTCATATCACAACTTCCTCAACAAAGCCTAATCCCCATTATTCAATCAACCGGGGGCCCATTTTTGAAGCATAATTGCTCCCTTCTCTCTTGCTCTCTTGCTATCTCTCTCTCTCTCTCTCTCTCTCTCTCCCTTTCGCTCTCTCTCAGCAGTTATGCCCTCGGGCCACATAATTGCCGGCGGATCGATCCCGAAATGGCAATAGCATATTTCCGGAGTTAACCATGTTGTTGACTCAGCCGTCAGTTGGACCAATGCACCGCGCCTCGTTTTCACCTGGGCCCTAGCACCAAAATCGTACAGTGCTCGCTCCCCCATAGCCCTTATTTTCGTTCCTAAAGAACCTCTGCTAGCCCTCCCTTCGATACCTTTTTTCATGAAAAACAAGCGTTGTCCCGGGGGTGCCGGGGGCCCCCGTTTTGCATTTTTTATGCGATACGGGAGACTCGGGGGACAGGGGAGCTAGAAATTGAAAATTGGAGGATTGTGTAGTCGAGCCTGGCTCCTGTAGCATCCCTGCTAGCCTGCACTTTCGTAAACAATTCCTGCTAGCATGCAAAATTTTGAAGGTTTGGTCCTGAGCTCAGGCTTGGCATCGACTTGGGTTTCTGCTTTGGCTTCCACTTTGGCTTAGGTTTGGGATTAGACTTAAGCTTCGGAATAGTCATAGGTTCAGGCTTAGGCCTAAGCTAGGCTCTAGCTAGGTTCAGGCTAAGGCTTAGGCCTGGACATAGGCTTAGACAGACTTACTATTAGGCTTTGGCAGGGGCTCCGGCTTAGAGTTGAGCTTAGGTTTAGGCTTAGGCTTAGGAAAATGACCAGAAACTATTGGAATCCCTTGTAGTGTGGCCGGACAGGAAGGGGCACTTTTTCAAAGCCACGTCTAGCCGACCCACCGAGAAAATGAAGCCTTTTTGTGCCCTGGAGGGGCAACATGGCCGCGCCTGCCCTCGGCATATATGGGATTGCTTTTTAGGGATACGGGGGCACCCCCAATGGGTCTCTTTGTCCATTCTTTCTCTCGCTGTCTCTCTTTCTCACTCTCGCCGTCTCTAACCACCCCACTTTTCCACTCCACGCCCCCTGACGAGCAAATTCGCATAGGTACATCACGCTACTAAGTCGCTTGGTGACTCATTGGGGCTCGATTCCGCAAAGAAACTCTGCCAGCCTGCCTTTCCTAAAGAAACTCTGCTCGACTGTCCTTTCCTAAAGAATCTTTGCTGGCTTTATTTGCTTTTCTTCCAGGCCTGGGGTATCCACTTTCATCGGGATGGGAAATTCCCAATATTCGCAGCTGCAAACGGCCGACCCGAGCGATGCGCTGACGCCAAGGTGAGTGTTTTAAAGGCACTGGGAAACGCGAAAATCGATCGCTAGGCTCGACTAGGACGTCGATGTCAAAGGGCCACTGAAGGCAAAGGATCAAAAAAATCTGTAAAATATACATACAAATTCAGTTCCAGACTTCTGAAGTCGACGTCGGTGTTCAACTGTCGGGATCCGAAAAAGAGGCCGTCGCCCCACATCGAAAATGTTGGTAGGTGGAATTGGATTTTCTGTTTCCTAAAGAGTCCCTGCTAGCCTGCCCTTTCCTAAAGAATCTCTGCTAGCCCCCCCCCCCTCTAGAAAAATGATGGGCTCTAGCGAGCCGCCGGTCTGGTCAACGAGCAAGGAAGGCCACCCTCAAAAGGGCGTCCCAGCGCCCCAACCACCGTGGTCTTGTGGTGTAGTGGTTATCACGTCTGCTTCACACGCAGAAGGTCGCCGGTTCGATCCCGGCCAAGACCTGTCTTTTTTGCTTTTTGAGAATTGACCGTTTTAGGGTGTACTTTAGTACTTACTTACTTGTTGAGGGCAAGCTCGCTCCAAAAAAGGCCCAGCTAACACCATTGTTCAGGAGCCCTCGCGCCGGTGCGACCTGGGATGCTGATTTCAGGAGGGAAGGATAGTGTGAGTTTGAAGACTAAACCTAGAAGCCTAAGCCTCTGTCTAAGTCCAAGCACATGATTTTTCAGATCATATCCCTAAACAACCTGGACGTCGGCGACAGTCTGATGACGTGGCGAGGGCACACAAAAGAAGTGTTAAAGGTATCGGAATGGAATTTAGGAATAGGCAGGCTAGCAAAGATTGTTTAGTAACGGGCAGGCTAGCAGAGATTCTTGACGAAAACAGTTCCTTCTTTTAGGTGGTCTACCGTAACACAGGTGGGAAGCACCTCGTGCTCTCTGCTTCCCGTGACGAGACCATCCGATTATGGCAATTCAACGCGGCGTCACCCCAAAAAGTCTACAACGGACATCGGCTGCCCATTTCGGGGCTTGTGCTGTTTGATGGTACGTGTTTTCTTCCTAAGAGATCTCTGCTAGCTTGCTTCTCTTCGAACTGGTTGTCCTCGTTCCTCAAGCACCTCTGCTAGCCTGCTCTCTGCCATGCGATAATTTATCTTTCCTCCAATAATCTCTGCTAACCTGACAATTCGTTTTCTGCTCCCAAATGAACTCTGCTAGCTCCCCTTTTGTCACTCTAAACTCTTACTAGTTAGACCTCACTTCCAGATGGCAAATTCGTCTCCGGCGGCCGGGATACAACACTCCGATTGTGGGACGTCGAGAAGGGGAACGTCATCTGCGAGAATCAGATTAATCGAAATCTGGTGGGTATTTTTAAGGATTAGGCTTAGGCTTAGGCTTGGACTTAGTCTAGGAATCAGATTTCTGACTTCCCAACCACTTTAAAGACCCATTGAAGGTGACCCACATTGCCTACAACGCGCAAAAGAATTGGCTGGCCCAGTCGTCAGAAGATAAGCACCTGAGGCTGTGGGATCCGAGGAGTATGGAAGTGATTGCATGCTATCCGCGGCAAATGCATATTCAGGTCGGTTTTCTCTCTCTCTCTCTCTCTCTCTCTCTCTCTCTCTCTCTCCCCCTCCCTCTCTCTCTCTCTCTCTCTCTCTCTAGCTACCCTGTTTTTAGACCTACTGCGAATTCACCCCCGATGCAAATATGGTGATGACGACCAGTGCCGGCTGGAATGGCGATGGCTGTACGATTACGGTAGGGCAGACTAGCAGAGATTTCTAGGAAAGGGCAGGCTAGCAGAGATTCTTTAGGAAAGGGTAGACTAGCAGTGATTCATTACGAAGGCAAGGCAAGCTAACTGAGAAACTTGAGGAAACGAGGCGTTTCCCATCGTCATAAAGCTCCCAACGTTTTCAGCTCTGGGACACGCGGACCCGGAAAATCTACAAGGAGCTGAGTGGGCACGACGCTACCGTAACCGGCGTCGCCAACCTGCATCAAAACGTCAGCCAGAAGAAGCTGATCGCCAGCGTCAGCCTCGATCGTACCGTGAAAGTGTGGAGCCTGGAGGATGGGGGTACGGTAGTTCGACTTTTTTTAAAGAGGACGGCAAGGGTGAAGCGCCGTTTTCGCCGTGTTTTCAGGGATCGCTATCCCTTTAAAAGTCTGTTTTTTCAGTCTGTCTCTGGACGGAAACAGCGCCGGCTGGTGGTGGATTGTTGGCTTGCGCGAGTTTTTCGGATTCCAGGTAAGGAGCAGAGATCCTTTAGGAACGGGTAGGCTAGCAGTGATTCTTTAGGAAAGGCCAAGCTAGCAGAGATTCTTTAGGAATGGGCAGGCCAGCAGAGATTATTTAGGAAAGGGCAGGCTAGCAGAGATTCTTTCAGCCTCGCCGTATCTGGCTGCGACGGTCTCATCGCACACCTCCGACTTCTCGGTCGTGGTGGCCGACCTTTGCTTCACTGCGTCTCCTATCAAACGCGACGCTACGGTCCTCAAACTTCGCATACAACAGACTCCTAATTCCACCGCTACGTACAACGTATTGCGCCGGAATTTTTAGCCCTTCACCTTCTTCTCCCGATCTCTCGTTTCGTCCAGTTAAATCATTTTCTACGAGTTTTACGAAATACCGTATTTTTTGAGCCTGAGCCTAAGCTTAAGCCTAAAAACAGTCAAATGTCGTAGTTCAAAAAATTCCGCATTTCCGAGACCCATGTCAAAAGCATCATTGTGATTGAAGCCTTTCCCTCTCCAAAAAAAAATATATCACGAAAAATTGCTGCGTCCCTGAGGTTACTGTATCATTTTTGAAAATGTGATTTCCGGGTTAGTCCATTGTTTAGAAAATTCATCGCACCTTAAAATATTCAATAAATATTGGTAAAGTTATTCCTCGTCGCCGGCTGATTCGGAATCCTGAAAAGAATGAGAATTTGAGAAGAAAAAAAAAAAAAAAAAAAAAAAAAAAGAGGGGGGGGGGGAAGGGGGGGAAGAAAGAAAAAGAGAAAAAAAAAAAAAAAAAGGAGAGAGAAACTGAGCCGAGGGGGAGAGAGAGAGAGAGAGATAGAGAGAGAGAGAGAGAGAGAGAGAGAGAAATCCACGGGATCAAACCTGCTGATGACGATGCGGCCGCTTCCCCTTGTTCTTCCCATTTTTACCGATTTCTAAAATTCCTCAAGTCGTCTAAAATTCAAGTCGCTTACTCTTCTGCTTCTTTTCTTTCTTCGGCTCTTCAGTCGTGGGTTCTTCTCCACTTCCTTCTGCTTCGATATCGTCGCGAGCTTTTGGCTTCTGCTTCTTTGGCTCGGCTCTTTTGCCTATAAGGAGAGTTTCTACTGTATGTCCCTTTAAGCTTCAAAAAAAAAACTCGATCCTTGGCGATTTTCCGCTTCCTGGCGCCTTTAAAACCCCACAAAGCCCACCTTTTCCCTTCTTTTTCTCGACTTTAGAAGCCGCCGTAGTTGTCGTTGGTTCTTCGCCACTTCCCTCCACCTCGGTCTCGTCGTGAGCTTTTGGCTTCAGCTTCTTCGGCTCAGCTTTCACGCCTAAAGAAATTCAAAATGTCAGAGTCCCCTTAAAGTTTAAAAACTCATCTGAAACTCGCCCTTTCCCTTCTTCTTCTGCACTTCTGAAGCTACGGTAGTCGTCGTGGGTTCTTCTCCGCTTCCCTCCACTTCCGGTTGATCCTTCCGCTTTTCGATGACCTTTTTTGGAAGCGGCTTCTTGGCTGAAAAATGTATCTCGATTTACTTCCCTTCAAGGGCCCTTTAGAGACGAAAACAGTATTCATGGAGCTGGACCTACGTTTTTGGACAGCCGTGACGACGGGGATTGGCTTGGCAGTTGCTGCGGTCATGGTTGTCGGCGGGCGTGTGGACTTGTTTTGCTGGAATTTTTAGGCTTAGATTTAGGCTTAGGCTCTGCTTAGGCTGACTTAGGCTTAGGTATGAGCTTGTGCTTACGCTTACGCTTATGCCTAGGCTTAGGCTTAGACTTAGGCTTAGACTTACCGGTTGTTCATCAGCCTCCTCCGGCACGACGCACAGCCCCTGCGTACTATCAAACGACGCCGGCGGACAGCAAATATTCCCGGGGCACGGTTTAGCGTTGCATGGCTGCGTTTGGAATCCGGTGGAGCACCTAGAAACGCGTTTTTTTGCGGGATTACGGTAGCTTACGCCCGCGTCTGCGTCCCGCACGCTCCGCACGGCTGACTGCATGCGCCCCATCCGGCGCACAAGGCTAGAATTTTATGTGTGACGTACTAACGCTTGACTGAAGCCTTTCTGCTTAAGTCTTCAGTAAAGCCCACCAATTGGCGCCGTTGGCGCTACGGTAGTCGAAGCATCGGTTTGCTCTCCGGACACAGGATCTGGGCTGAATGTGAAAAATGACAATTCCGGAGTTACCGTATCGGTAGCTGAGCGTAAACTGGGCCGAGCTGTAGCCCTGGAAGATGACGAGAAGTTGCGAGGTTTGGGTGGTGGCACCGCCAGGGTAGGTGCGACCGCAGAGTCTGGAGGAAGAGTTTGAAAAGGAGCGTGACCTTAGATCTCTGGCTTTCTCTCTCCTTCTCCCACTCTCTCTCTCTCACTCTCTCTCTCTCTCGCTCTCTCTCTCCTTCTCTCTCTCTTACTCTCTCACCTAGCGCCAGTATTGACCAAATTCGCTCCATATTTCAGCTCCAAATACGAGGTGCTGCAGACCTGTTGGTAGGGGAACGACAGCGAGGCCACTTGGAAGTACACCTTCTTGCCGGGAGGAGCCTGAAAAAGCGGGCAAGCTAGCAGGGAAGATTTAGGAAGGGGATTCCGGACCGGCCAGTTGAGAAATCTAGTACATACATAAAATCGTTGCGGAGATCCCATACACCTACCGTAATCAAAAGTTGCACACGAGCGCTCCGGAAGCTGTAATTTGCTGCAGGCTGGACGTGGCGGTGAGCTGGCCCTGGGGGCAGCCAGAATACGAGGTGGCCGGTTGATCGCAGTATTGGCCTGGAATCGAGGGCTAGGCTAGCAGAGATTCTTTAGGAAAGGGCAGGCTAGCAGAGATTCTTTAGGGAACTGACCTCCCAATCCGGTGGGGCATCGGCATTGGCTGCAGGCAAGCGGATCGGTGTAGCCGCCATTTTGGCAGGGGAGCTGGGTGGTGCAGGAGGCTAAAGTTAGGCTTATACTTAGACTTAGGCTTAGGTTTGTGCTTAGGCTTAGGCTTTGCTTAGACTTAGTCCTCTTCCTTCACCCCACCATTGCAGTACGCAAAATTGATCTTCTTCACATCGGCGAAGCCGGCCTGGTTGCGCTGGCCGATCGTGAGTTGGTAATTGGCATCGTATGTCTGTATGGTCATTCCACCATTTTGCGAGAAAGCCTGGAATTGGCGGGCTACAGCGGTTTTTTAGGAAAGGACTAGGCCTTCAACGGTCCTTTAAACCCACGAAAACTCACGAATTGATCGTAGTGCATCACAGATCCGTAGTCGTACGCCACGCCGTAATCGACCATGGTTGATGGGGCCTATAGCAGGTGATTTTAAAGGGACCGGGAAGTCTTACCTGCTTGCTGAACTGCGGGATGTAGATGTTCTGGATGTTCTGGGTGACGATACGGACGTAGGAGTCGCGATCCGAGCGGGACTGCTCGTGGTAGAAGCCGAGGGCGTGGCCTGAGAGTTGGGGGAGTTAGTAAGCGAGAGAGCGTGAGCGAGAGAGAGAGATATAGAGAGAGAGAGAGAGAGAGATAGAGAGACGAAGCAAAACATACCAATTTCATGCATAACCGTGCCGAGCGCCTCGCACCCGACTCCAATAGAAACTTGTTGCGCTCCCTGCGCCACCATTCCGATGTACGAGTAGCACCTAAATACGAGCTCGTACTCAGTTTTTGATGCTCTTTCAAATGGCCCCTTTCAAACTTTGCTCGCTCTCCGGATTTCCATATATAAAAAAATAGTGTCTGTGTGTGTGTGTGCATTTGAATGCAACTTCCGTCAGCGTGTTCCAGTAGTAACTCGATAGGGGAAAGTTTTTAAGTTAAGTTTGATACGTCATTAGGTGCGTAATGCTTCCGAGATGACTGCAGACGTATAATATTTTGCAAATTATCTTATTTTGAACATTAAAATTGGTTTTTTCTTTAAAAAAACGGGCGCCCTCTTTGTTAGGAAAAAATTAGCATGCACCGGAAGTGGCGATAGCCTATATAATCGGAGAGAGGGAGCGTTTTTCATCATTTCTCATGACAAATTCGGGCGAATTATGCAAAGGGTAGAATTTCATGGGCTTATACGGGCCAGGGTTGAAAAGTCGCGAAGCGGCTTTTCAACCCTGGTTTCCATTAAAAATCGCTTAAACTCAAAAATTCCGAGCCTACCGCGCTCATAAGAAACTTTTTGTCTTTTTTAAAAGATAAGAAATGTTCCCAGATGGTCCGGTTTTTACAACACCACCAAGTCCCTGAAAACCTTCAAATTGCCCCAAAAAATCGCTCACCCATTGCCCCGGATGAAGATCAGTCCGTTGCCCCTGGGCTGCTGGGTCACCTAAATTTTGCGTTTTCTACCGTAACCCTGAGGCTAACTTGTTGGAAGGTGATGCACGTCAGCTGCTGCCAGCGTTGGATGCCTGCTTGGACGGCGGATACGGGGACTGAAAATTAGAGATTTAGAGAGCGAGAGAAAGAGATAGAGCGAGAGAGAGAGGAAGATTTTCCAAATTTCTGTACCTCCCGGTGTAATGTAGTATTGAATCGGAAATACGCGCCACCGCAACGACAAATCCGAAGTCATGCTCCTTACGAAGCGCATCGTCTCGTTTTTGCGGCGAGCCAGCTCAGTTTCGGCATTTCTGAAAATGATTTCATAGAGTTAAATGAGCGGGCAGGCTAGCAGAGATTTTTTACGAAAGGGCAGGCTAGCAGGGATTCTTTAGGAAAGGGCAGGCTAGCAGAGATTCTTTAGGAAAGGGCAGGCTAGCAGAGATTCTTTAGGAAAGGGCAGACTAACAGAGATTCTTTAGGAAAGGGCAGGCTAGCAGAGATTCTTTAGAAAACCTACTTAATTTGCTGCTGCAATTGCGACTCGGTGAGAATGATGTCTCCCTCAAAGAGATACGGTAGCTGGTCGGGCCTGCCGTTGACCGGCTTCATCGTGTCGGGGTTCTCCTCAGCCTGTTTCACCTAAAAATTAGTATATTCCCAAAATTCCTGCTATTCTTGCCATTCTCGAGAACGTCTTCGGTTGCTGCGACTTCGGCGTGAAGGTGTTGTTCTAAAAAGTGACGGTATTTGGCGATCTTACGGTATTCTAGACGAGGTCTTTGTTACGGTGCTGAAGCTAAAAAGCTAAGCTCAGCTTACCACGGCCTGATACAGCTCCTGGTAGAGCTCATTGAGCTTTGAGAAATTCTCGAGGTACGACTGCAGGGTGGTCTCGTTGAAGAGCGACTGGCCATTTAGCAGGGCGTCTTCGATGGGGCCCTGAAACAGCATTTTAAAAAATCTTAAAATTCTGCATCTAAAAAATTATATTGCCTTCAAGAATCTTTGCTAGCTTGCCGCCTTGAGCTTCCCAAAGAATCTCTGCTAGCATGCTCTTTACTAAAGGATCCCCGCTAGCCTGTCTGATCCGGTTGTCCCAGAGCAAAAGGTAATAGGATCCCGTCGGGGTGTTGGGATAGATCCCACGCCTAAGCCTAAGCCTAAGCGGAAGCCGAAGCCTATGTCTATGACTATGCCTAAGCCAAGGATAAGCCTAAGCCTAACCTCAAGCCAAGCCTGAGCCGATGCCTAAGCCTAAGCCTGTCTATGACTATCCCTAAGTCAAGCCTAAGCTTAAGCTAAACCTAGCTTTTTCCTAAGCCGAAGCCCAAGCCTAAGCCGATCCCTTAAACCCACCGCAACAACAGACACCGCTGCCCCACATAGCAGGGCAAACGGGAGCAGCGCCACCATTGTGTATGGTATCCAAGTGTGTCTGGCTCGCGCTGATGATAGGATAGAAATGGAATAATGAGCGGACTGATACCCCGAGGCTGCTTTTATCATAAATAGAGATCCCACCCCCTGTCGAATCATTATCCCGACACCCGGGATATTATTGTTTTCGCGTTTAGCCGGATCAGGGAGATCAACGAACCGGCGGCTGGGGCATGCTAGCAGTGATTCTTTAGGAAAGGAAGAGCTGGCAGTCGCCTTTGACAATCTGGAGGAATCCGAGTTATCCCGGTTCCCGACAAACTACCTAAGAAGGAGGCTAGCAGAGATTCTAGAGGAAAGTCAACATCGATCTTTGGGTGCTTCCAGGTTATCGGGGGTCGGTTATTTTAGCGGGGGTCGGTTGATTATTTTTTATTCCTTATGTAAAGGGGAGCAAAAATGTTTACTAACCTATCCTGAAATCAAACGATAAGTAAAAAAGGGCAAGCTTAGCAGAGATTCCAGAGGAAAGGCGCAACCGACCCCCGCTAAAATAACCGACCCCCGATAACCTGGAAGCACCGATCTTTGGAAACGAGGGGCTAGCAAAGACCAGTTTGGAATGAAAAGTCCGCCGCTCCATGTGCAATTCCAGAGCTCGGGCAGGCTCGCAGAGATTCCTTGGGAACTGCAAAGCCGGGCATCTTTTTATTTGCTCGACTTCTTGCGCGTTTTCTGGCGTCTCATTGTCAGGGCAGGCTAGCAGAGATCCCTGCCAATCCCGAATCCAATCCTCAGCATCGAGATCGCGGGGCAAAGATCATAGCACCCGGAGCATCGAAACACCAGAACACCCGATGATATCTGCACCAGTTTCGGGCTCTCGCACACCGATTCCCAATCACCACCCTTTATTCCAGTGCACCAGCACCCAAAATTCACAAAACTACATTTTTTTTTGTTCACTACTATTGCGCAAAATCCACGAAGTAAGGTTACAGAAAATGTACTAAATTATCACAAAGGAATGTATTTCGGCACCACCGTCACAACCAGGGGAAATCACAAAAGTTTAATTAGGTTAACTGGAGAAATGGCAAGAAAGAAATCAAAACTACAAGCTATCAAAAACGACATAAAAAAGCTGATAAATTAACAATCTTATTTGCTCTTGCGGAGGAGCACCGCCATCGCCTCGCCACCGCCGTTGCAGATGGCCGCCACGCCGAGCTGTCCGGGCTTCAGCGAGTGGGCCAGGGACACAGTGATCCGCAGGCCGGACATGCTGAAAAAAGACAAGGGGATTCGGAAATTTTAGATTCATTACTACTCGAATCCGGCAAGAAAAGGAGAAGCTAGATTCTTATGTTTTAAGCGTCACGGACTGTTAGCGAGGGGAGGAGAATTTTTAGCAGGGGACCCTAATTTTTCGCCTATACGTATCTGTTAATAATCCCTAATGAATTTTTATAGTGTTTTGGTCGTTTTTTGATTTCTAGAAAGTTATAAAACAATGTTTTAAAAACGGAACATTTATTGTCATTTTCACTAGATGCCAAAAATGAAGGGTTTTTATACCCAAAAAAAAGTGTAAAACGCTACAAAATATTTGAAATTGCCTTATGGGGCCGCACGGAATTACTGGGGCAAAATTGGTTTCCACCGCTAACAGTCCAGTACCATTTGAAGTTCTTCTTTACGCAAAAAAAAGAAGCTGTAAACGTTGAAAAGCTAACCCAAGTGGATGCCCAAGCGCCACGGCTCCACCCTTGATATTGACGAGCTCGGGGTTGACGCTGAGCGCCTAAACTTCATAGTGCTCATCTTAAAATTCAAATTACCTTGATAAACGCGAGGGCCGTCGTGGAGAAAGCTTCATTAACTTCCCAGGTGGCAATGTCGGCGGCATGGATATTGTGCGTCGCGAGCAACTAGATCACAATTTTGTGAAGATCAATTATCAAATACTTTTCGCACGGCGTTAACCGGAGCCAATGTGAAGTCGATAGGTTCCATGCCGGCTTCAGCGAAGCCCAGAATTTCAGCGAGAATCGGGCCCTGAATTTGACTTTTTTAAATTGTCAGGGTAAAACCTCGGCTTTTCCAATCACTACGGCCGCGACAGCCCCATCGTTGAGCGAGGACGCGTTTGCGGCGGTGATGGTGCCGCCGTCCTTCTTGAAAGCTGCCGGAAGTGACGAGACCTTGCTTTCGACCAATTTCTTGTATTCCTCGTCCTCGGCCACGACGATAGGGTCGCCTCGCCGCTGCGGGACGGCCACTGGGATCACCTCGTCTCGGAAGCATCCGTTCTAAAATCATTTTTGCTTCGGCCGAGCTTAGCTTAGGAGTTGTGTACTGGCTTAACAACGAAAAACCCACCAAGTGGCCCTAAAACGACCCGAAAGAAAAAATTTTGCCCTGTCCAACATGAATCGTCCTGATTTTTTGAATCCCTAAAATATCTACCTTCCAAGCCGCGGCCGCCTTCTTGTAGCTTTGAATCGCGTAGGCGTCGCTTTCTTCGCGCGTGATTTTGTTTTCCTAAATCAAAATTAAGCCTTTTTAACGCCAAATCGTACCGTTGCCGTTTTCTCGGCGCAAAAACCCATCGATTTCTTTTCGATCGCGTCTTCAAGCCCGTCGCGAACGATACCATCCTAAAACATCATAAAAATCAGGATATTTTTGCTAACCACTAGCGTCAATCCTCCGTACGGCGTATCCCCTCGCGCCATGTAGAACGGGACTTGGCTCATGCACTCGGTGCCGACGACCAGGCATTTTTCGCGGTATCCCGTCTGGAAAGCATCCAATTTAGTAAAAAAAAAAGACATTTATCTACCTGAATAGACATGCATGCCATCTGCAGCGCCTTCATCGACGAAGAGCAGACTTTGTTGACCGTTACAGCTTGGGCGTCTTTCGGGATTCCTGAAAATGAAAGTTGATTGTGAAAAACTGCATCTTACCTGACGCTAGCGCGATTTGCCTGCCAACATTTTGGCCGCCGTTCGCCGTCAGCACCGATCCGACGAATGTTTCTTCGATTTCTGTGGCCGCCAGAGCTGAACAAGACTAAGGAGAAGCCGCAAAAAACCCACTAGCGCTCAGTATCGCCTCTTTCGCCACCATCGAGCCGAGTTGAACGGGCGACAGGGTGGCAAACGAGCCGCGAAACGAGCCGATCGGGGTTCGGACCCCAGAGGCCAGGTAGGCGATCGGCTTGCAATCCATGCGCTTTCTAAAAACGTAGAAGCTTCCTTGAACCCATCTTTCAAAATTAACGCATCCGACCATATAAAAATTCAAAAAAGAACCGCCGTGATAATTTTATCAGTTGATTTATGTCAATGTACAAGTTTCAGGAATCAAATCTTTATTATACAGCTAGTATTCAAAAACAAAAGTTAACACACACACACAACCGGTATAGACACTCAATGGGGGAGACGGAAGAACCTAATGAGCTAAACTATCTTGTGTATTGTGGTATGATGCGGGGAGAAGCAGATTTAAACATTTGCCAAGAAAAAAAAGCGAAAGAAACACACAAAATGAGCACCTAATCGACCAAAAACCTTTTTAGATCATTTGGATGACCATGCCGGAGGAGCCGCCGCCGCCGTTGCAGATCGCGGCAAAGCCCTTTTGGCCGGACTTGAGGGCGTGCGTCATGTGGACGATCAGCCGGGCTCCAGACATTCTACAAAAGAAGAAAGAGGCATAAAAATACGCGAAATAACGCTTACCCAATTGGATGACCAAGCGATACGGCGCCACCATGCGGGTTTACCTGTAAATGAAGGGCGTAAACAAAAAATGTGACGAAAAATTACCTTGGCAGGGTCTAGTCCGAGTTCCTTGATGAAGGCGAGCACCACGACGGAGAAGGCTTCATTAACCTAAAGGCTATTTTATGGTTTTTAAGGTTGCGGTACCTCCCAGTGGTCGATGTCGTTCAGCGAGAGCCCTGCATTCTTCAGCAGCTAAAAACACAGGTTAAAACGCAAAATTCAACATTACTTTTGGGACGAGAAGTGGTGGGGCGATGGCAAAATCGAGGGGATCGCGAGCAGCGTCGCCGTAGGAAAGGATCTAAAAAGAAACTAAGAAGCTGCTTTCGAAAATACCTTGGCTAGCGGCTTCAGATTGTGCTTCTTCAGGGCGTCCTCTGAGACGATGACCACCGAAGCGGCGCCATCATTGAGAGTGGAGGCATTGGCGGCAGTGATAGTGCCGTCTAAAAAATCATTAGGACATTTCGTGGATACACAAACCTTTCTGGAAGACTGTACGCAGGCCCTTAAACTTGTCAAAGTTGACCTTGCTGAACTCTTCGTCCTTGTCGACAACAACGGTGCCCTTTTTGCCCTTGATTTCGACGGGGACGACTTCGGAGGAGATGCTGCCGTTCTAGAAACCCAAATTCAAAGGAGAAGACACGGATTTCAAACCTTCCAAGCCTCGGCGCTCTTCTTGTAGCTGCCAATGGCGTAGTCGTCTTGATCTTCGCGCGTGATTTGACGTTCCCTAAACAAAAATGTAAACTTATATTTGAAGAACGCGTACTTTGACGTCTTCTCGCCGCAGTTGCCCATGTGGCAGTGGTTGTACGCGTCCGTCAGCCCGTCTTTCACAATACCGTCCTAGATCGATGGTATGAAAAAATACAGCGACACCCACAATCATTTGCAGCCCTCCGTAGGGGATTTCGCCTCGTGGCACGTAGTAGGGGACCAGCGACATGCTCTCCATTCCGCCGGCGACGACAACCTGCAAAAAACAGGCATTTCGGTGCTTTCCTGAAACAAACAGAACCGAACCTTAAAAACTCACATCCTGGTGGCCGGTCTGAATCTGTTGGGCGCCGAGGATGATCGCTTTCAGCCCGGAGGAGCAGACCTTGTTAACAGTCGTCACGGCCGTCGATTTCTCAAGTCCTAAAAAAGGAATACAAGCAGTTTTTTTTATCCCTCACCAGCGCCAAGTGTCGCTTGCCTGGCCGGGGCTTGTCCAACGTTCGCTTGGCAAACCTAAAGAACGAAATTTTAGGAAATCACATCCAAACCTGTCCGAGGAAAACCTCTTGCACTGCGCTAGCGGGCAGCATGGCGTGCTGCAGGGCTCCCTGAAAATTTGTTATTTTGCAAAAAAAGGTATTTCCGGTACCTTGATAGCGACGGCACCAAGCTGAGGAGCAGGGACGGAGGCGAGGCTCGAGCGGAAGGAGCCGATCGGCGTTCGGGCGGCGCCGACGATGTAGGCTACCTAAAAATATTAGTATTCTAATAAAAAACACATTAATACCTTATTCCTCGCAGCGGCGCTCTGCGATAGCGCACGGAGCTGCATGCCACCGGCTGGCATCCTGAAAATAAGCTATTATAAAGTGCAAGGAGCACAAAGAGGGGCCAATCGAGAAAACGTGAAATAGGGTCGATTTCGGAGGTTGTTTCCGCAAACGTTCTTTGGAGTCGACCATGCGGATGGCACTCTCGATGAGATAGTGGGGAAATTGACTAGGGCGCAGAGGGCGAGCCGGAAAAAAAGCTTTCGGAAAAGTCAACCCCCGAAACTGCACGAAAAAGAGCAAAGAATGGAAAAATGAACGAATGTATGGAATGGACGGGTTGTATAAAAAAAACTATCTTCATGCCTAATTCGTGAAAATAAAGTCCCAAAAGCAGATAAATCAATGAAGATGCGGTGGCATCTAATTAAACCGACTTGCGCTTGGTTCTGGAAATTCCGTAAGAGGTATAAAGTCATCAAGATTTAAAAATCAAATTAAAAATTGTAGTGCCAAAATCGATATGCAAAAGATGGCGGCAAAGGAAAGTCTCGCCCTAGTTCGCGCAGCTCCCAAATGCCCGTAGGTCATTGTCATAACCTCATCCTCTGTTCCAAAAGGCGCAGCGGATTTATCCATATCGAGGGTCGTCTGGCTTCCGTGAAACGTTTTTGCAAATTTTAAGGGTTGGCGGCGCAGACATGCGGATCACTCGCCTGCCGGTGGAGTGTCTGGTTCAAGTGATCGACCATCTCGAACCCGATGATCTGATTGCCCTCCACCGTACTACCCGAGAATTTCGGTAGCTTTTTCATAGACGCAGCTGCTTGAGCATGGCAGCGATTAACCAACTAATTTAGTTACCATTGTCCAAACTCAAATATTTCTGACTTTTGGACAGATTTTGGAGAACAAACAGCGCGACATTGTCGAGAAAAAAAGCTCTCTTGAATGATCAGTTTAACAAGGAAACTAATGGAATCTATAAAGTTGCGAAGCATTTCTAGACTTACAAAAACCTCCCCCCTATTTTGCAAAAGAACTGCAATCGTTTTCCGTTACAGCCGACGCATCAACATGCGGGGGCTGTTGCCAGGTCGCATCGAGAAGGTGTTCTTCCATGGGCTATGCATTCCGGACCGTCCCTATCAGGTAATTTGCGCATCACCTGCAGTGCCGCCGATTTTTTTCGCAGCTTTTAAATAGCCCGGCTTTTTAATGAAAATTTATCAAGTTTTTAAGTCTAGGAATAGTAAAAAAAACGATAAACGGGGTCTTAGCACAGAAAGTTGGGTCCCCCGGTAATGCAAAAGTACCTAAATCAATTCAAGCTTTTCATCCAGAGCTTTTTCAGTTGCAAATGACGTGTGTGGATGTGGTGGTGGTGAGCCGTGGCGGCGTCAGCATTTGCGCCGGTTATCCGCGCAAAAAGCTCTACCACACCGTCGACCCGGGGTCTGTACAATTTTAAAGTTTCGGGGCACCTAGACGGAGGCTTCGTTGCCCCAATCTGACGGGACGCTTGTCGCCAAATCATATCTATTTTTTTTAGCCACGGCGATCTAGCGGGCTACCCCCGAAGTTATGGCAATGATAGCCCGAAACGCAGGATGAGGTGGGTTCGACTTCCGATCAAAATGGCGAAATTTCCCAATAACGAAATTTCAGAATTCTAAATTTGCAATTCCTTTCAATTTTCAAACTCATTGGGATTGATTCAAACTCATTGGTTTTGGGACACCCTTTATGTCGAGCATTTTTTTGTTTGACGCTTTACTTCACTTCACTTCGCTTTACAAGTTTTTATTAAAAAAATACAAAGAATACAGTTTCTCGACGAACAATGGACGATCTTTTTAGAGTTTTTAAATTGTTTTTCTGGCTGAAATATATCTCCCCCCGATAATGCGAAACAACCTTTCGCAGTATTTGTCCATTTTAACACCGTGGTCTAGACACTACCGGATGAAATCACCACGGTATTTTGTGCAATTCGCTAACCTGATCCGGCGAATTCGGGCCGTTCCAGTGCTTTCCGTTGACGCGCACCTCAACGGCATCTGGGTATGTGTATTTCCTTACTCAAAGGAGACGTTTTTGGCTGGGCAGTGTCCCCCCCCCCGAACTGGAAGACACTAAACTAACCACTTCAAGCGTTTTTTTAGCCGGAAACATGGTCACCATTTGACGATTGGATCGACAGGAAGGTGGAGGCGGTTGGTCAGATCGTAATAATGCATCAACTCTGGTATCTTTAGCTACGCCGACTTTCTGACGTTGAACCCGAACCAATGGACTGGTTTGCGAAAACAAAGCCCATACAGGTACGATACTGGAGACTACAGGGTGTCCCAATCAATGATCATATACCTTGACGCGCTACGGTAAGATCGTGGTTCCAGATGGGACCAGTGATCGGTGCGTTCCGAGCGATCGGCAAATGCTGTTGCTGGGCACTCTCGGCGACCATCTTCCCGCATGTGAAGGCGCTATTCAGTCGTCCGCCAGATGTATTCCAGGGGTGGTACCAAAGTAGATTTAACCACCCTGATTTAACTACCCTGGTTAAAATTTAACCATCCATGGTTAAATTTTAACCATCCATGGTTAAATTGTAACTACCCATGGTTAAAATTTAACCACCTAACGCGAAAAAATTTAACCACCCATCCAAAATCAATTTATCTCATTTATCGATAGAAATTCTTTGGAAGAAAGCAACGTGAACCCAATTTATCGCTTTCTAAGCCATCCGTGAGCCTATGTAGAAAGCGACTGCCTTCCCAGGGCCCTCCGGAATCGAAAGGGACTCCTCACTATCAGTGTATTCGGTCATTTGGGTGCGTTCCGAAAATGTAGACCATGTTTATAATGTATTTAGTAGATTTTGGTTGCTAGGAAGTTATAGATAAAAAAAGATTTTTAGATATTTTGAAAACCTTGA